CTATGTTATTGATTTCTGTTCCAGGGTAACAAAAAGGAGACAGAGGTTTGTGATGCAGATGTTTCATGTCTGACTTTGTGCATGGCACCGCCTGTCTTGGAATTATTGACATCAAAACTTCAGAAAGCAAAGCTCTACTTGAATACACATACAAAGTGCCAGAAATAGAGGCAGTGATCTTGATTGCCTGACCAAAGTTGTTCTAGTTCTAGGCACAATAAGATGGCCAACTGGTTTATTGGTTTAGTTAATCCTATACCCGTGAAGAGGGCAATCGAAAATGGATCCTTTGACCATACATAAAATACGACATAGGTCGCTGAACTCACATTAGCTTTTCAATACGATCCTTACACTTTGAAATCTTGCAACTGAGTCCTCCAAGTCATCTTAACATATTAAATGAAGTCCGGTTTTTTAGTAAAGATCCACCAAATCAACTACGGTACACCATATCTCAAACAACTTCAACTTATGCCGCTCGCGGTGGAGGATAATGACATTCTATTACTAGCACGAGAGGCACACAAGTAGGCATGACTGAGAAAGATAGAGCAGAATTAATAAGCAAATATCGCCTGCATTTTCTCTAACTCATCGTATTTTTCTTTGAGGGGGAAAAAACACAAGATATAGTCCTAGAGGCTTCTAAAAGAATACCTAATTATGATACCGAAATGGGAAACTGAAATTTAAGGAAGAGAAAGGATGTAGAATGAGAAACCTTGATCGCATGAGATTCTAACATGACCAGTTGTCAGAATATTAGAGAGATAAATGAGAAACCTTTATCGCATGAGATTTTAACATAACCAGTTGTCGGAATTATAGAGAGATAAATATCAAACATCTACTTTCCATACCAAAATCATTAGATTTCTTCAATAAGTTCAGACGCAAAATCATGTCTAATCTACAACTTCCCCTCCAGCCAAACCTGACTCTTTTTACTTTGGCGAAGCAGGTTTAACTTTCTCTCTCAGAAACTGCAGGACATGTTCACGTTTCCAGTTGTCGATCCTGCCGAAAGGTAAAAAAGGTAAAACCAGTGGAAAGAAACATTTAGCTAGCTGCTTAATGCTATGTAAATATAAGAAACCACCTTAAACTAGAAGCAGACCTATCAATCTATCATGTCCAGCGACATACAAAATGGCTATAGATTGATGCATTTGGTGATTAGGTGAGTACTAAACGTTTGCTTCAAGATCAGATGAACAGCATCTCAAATCTCATCATCATCCATCTCAAAATAAAGAAATTTTATATTAGGGGTGAGGATCAAACATGGCCTTTAAGGTTAAAAAACCCTACCAAGAAAGCATGACATTCGCTTGCCACTAACATCCAAATATTGAGAGGTCGAAAACCTTTTCCATTCAACCCCAAGCATACACTACCCCACGGAAACAGCCGTTAGCATAAGCAGAAGAGAGTTACCTTATTGTCTCTTTGAATTGGCCATCGTCATCCAGCATGATCAACTTTGGTGGTGAGTTGAAAACGTATTGGACTTTAACAGAAGGAAACTTGTCCTTCTCTTCTTCAATAAAACCAACAATTTCAGGATAAAAGACTAATTTCCTCATACAAACTTCCAGTACTGCCCCAGAGTAAGTGATCTGCAGTCAAAACAGAACTGATCTTTGTAAAATACAAGCATCACATCCAGCAGAAGTCAATCCTTTATTATTTCATTTAAGTTTCGAACCCAATTTTAAGAAAATAATTAGGAAACAAGGCATACTGAAAACAGTTAACATAATTAACCAGAAAGAGACAACAATATCAAGTTGCCCACTCGGGAAGCATGTGAAGTTTAGACGATTCCTTAAGTTCCGCCATTCTTATTGGAACAAAAACTAATGACAATAATGAGAACACTAGGGAGAGAGGACCGGAAGAAGCAGGAGGTCAGAAATTGATGTAAGAAAGGTAAGGAGACAATTATTGTCAAATTTCCAAAATACTGTCTGTGAGGTATTCTCCTCAAAAGGTGCATTAAAACAGTGGATAGGGCTTTGGCATCTATGCAGCTCACCCTTTGGTGAGCATGCCAAATGGAACCTAAAGGGCATACTTTAGGATGAGGAAAAAAGGCTTGTGGATGATGAAGTCTATAAATGAAGGTAATCTACGTGGTGAGTGTACTTCAATCACTGTACTAAGAGAAATTTCTGATATTGAATATAAAAGACCCAGGTATCAAAGAGGATCAGGACAATTCAGGAAAATCGCTAATGAACTTCCGTTGAGGCATAAGATTGAAAATCCAATCAGAAGCTGTAGCTAATACAAACCAAAGTCCATGTACAGCCTGGTATTGCTCGGTATAACTCATACAATCTAGTACCGAGTTTCCTCTCCTCCTACTTTTTGCCAACATTTACTTTTTTTTTTCTTTTTGCCCCTTCTCAACCTCTTAGTAACAAGCAACTCACAACTCCTTTGCATCCATCGATCATTGCCAAAATGGTTTCTGCTAATGGTGTTGTTTCACAAATTTTTCAGTAAGCAAGACTCCTGAGATTATAATGGAGGCAGAGCAAAAATCAAGCAACAAGTAGACAATAGAGCTATGAGAGTACCTGTCTCACAAGAACAACCTCTAGAAGAGATAGGAAGGGTCAGATGTGCATAGAAAGCCTGAGACTAAAGTCCCGTGACAATGATAGGGAATCGAAAGCATCATGTAAAACTAAAAAGCCTCTTAAGATCAATTATAGAGAAGGTTCTAAGTGCTCATTTCACAAACTATTCCCTCCATCCTCTGATCTGCCTCATTACACATCTTTTTTTTTTCAAATGACACGTTACAACTACATTCTTCTTATAAGATCAAGTCACTGCCTCCTCCTTTTAACCGCACATATAGATTAGCATCGTCATAACACACGGATATAACCACAAATGAAATTAAAAACCATATATTTAAAATACAAGCCCAGGAACTTATCCATCACACCTTGCTAGTCTCGTCATCGGAATCTTCGGTGCAACACTTCAAACAGTCGGATACTAGCTCTGCACAAAGACATTACAAAATTATTTCCATCCATACCACAAAGTCAGGCTCAAAACATCTTCTTATACTTATTTCTCCGCCCAAAAAAAACACCCATTAGATGCTTTGATCCCTGTTAGTAATGGGCACGCGAAGTCGTCAAGTTATCTCATTGTTCACGACCAAATGCAGGGTAACTTTCAAGTCGAAAAGATATAAAACCACATAATCATGATGTACAGCTGCGTCTTAGATTTCTTCCAGTTACACTCAGTCCGATCAGCTCCTTGACCCACCATTCTTTCAACTCGCGATTAGAAAAAAGGAGCATGGAATCTCATCTCGACCAACCGAATCGGATCAAATGGGGGCTCGACCCTCGATGCGAAATCGATACGAGAGGGGGAACGAACGAACCTTGGTCCTTGACGTACTCGGCGAAAGCGTTGCAGTCGGAGCAAAGGGCGAGGCCCGAGAACCCTAGATCCTCGCACTGCCGGGTGCTCAGCTGCTCCCGCGAGGACGACGCGAGCGACGACGACGCCGCCGCGGCGACGATCGCGAGCACCACCAGGCCAAGACAGGGCACCGCCGGCATCGCTTCGAAGCGCATCTTCCGACTCCGAGTCAACTCGCGCGAGTCAAGGCCCCGGAACTTTGGCCAGTTCTATTGCTCGCCCCTTCAAATAAGCATAGACGTACGATCAAATAAGTGCAAAATTAACTACAAAATCTATTGTCCTAAGCTTTTGAGTAAGTATTTTATCAGAATTCCATAATTGCTCAAAAGAAAAAAGTTACTAACATTTGATTTATTGAAAATTACCTTTCACATTGAGAATTTACTGAGCATATGCGAAACTAATTTAATGGAGTACTTAATTGCAAGCACACACTATTCGTGGTGAGCATGATTCCGGGGTATAATCGGGAATTGATTCAATTCTACGTTATAAGGTATATAGTAGGGTAAGTTCCAGGTTCAAAAAATTAGGGAATCGCTTTTGACGGGGAGGGTTAGAACCTGGAACTCAAAACAAGTCTTAGGTTTTCTTATTCTATATTTTCGCGCAATCCTGCTATATTCTATGACGTCCGATAATGAGTGTGTATTTTGGAACCACTAATCTAAGCTTCCAATTCCGACGATATCCATGATCGAGATTTTTACTTTGTTAATGTTTCATATTTTTTGTGTGTCTAAATATAAGTTGTAGTTAGTAGATCGTAGCAGCAAATGGTAGTCATTGAAAACGATGCTTTACTATAATATTTCAATTAAGAATATATATGGAACTTGGATAGATATTGGAAATGACCGTGGAATCTGTGATAAGGTAGATTCCAAGGTAGGTTCTAATGTATGCGGTGTAGATTTTAAGTTCTAAAAATTTTGGAAATTGATTGCGAACAGTTGAGTTTTAGGTTATAGGTGGAACTTGGAATCGTTCACTCCTACACATTACGGATTGCGCGTATCTAAGAATAAGGAGAATTGGATAATATTTTCAGAAATTAGTCTTAGTGGAAATAACTATCCATTATCTTAAAAAAGTACCCACTCAAAAGCTTACGAAAATGACCCTTTTAAATTTTGTTATCGTAAAACTTACGGAAACTTTAAAGGTATTTTAGCGAGATTGATGGTACGCACACAATCTAAAGGTTTCCTTTGTAAGAGTGCCGATATAGCGTGCTCAATTGCTTAGTACCGCCTTCTAACGTGGAAGCGATTGTAATGGTACATCATTTTCATAATTTATTTTCCCTAATTTGTCTCAATGTTCATATGTTTCGTAGTAAGACGATAATCCAAAATAATTTTAATGTTATTTCTTTTAGCCCTCTACAACCCCAGCCTCTCGAATCTCTTGATACTTGGAAGCTTGGATGTAACGAACGGTGAGGATTCGAGCAGCGTGACGTGGCTGCCGTTGAGCGGCTCCCTTTTATCACCGGCCTGTCACTTTTACATGCTGTCTGGCTAGACCAAACAAAGCCCGCGTTCTGGAGCATCTCTCGGTATTTCCTCGAAGGCATGCTGGCTCCAAGGCATTGAAGTTGGGGGGGCAAGAAATCTCGTTCTCAAACTCAAGGGGAGTTGCTCTATGTTCGTCCAACTCAGGTTTGCCTTCAAGCGATGTTCGTACTGCGTTTTTCTCGCACTCGACATGTATGCGTGATCGTTATTGTTGTTTTTTTCGCATTGCGCATGGAAAAGTGAAAACGTGGGTGGAGAATGGTCGAAATTAGAACTTGGGTCTTCAATGTTTGTGACAACGAAACGTCTCCCGAGGGAGAAAAGTTGAGCAGGACACGCCGCACGCCAGATGCTTGACGAAATTCCCGAGAAGGGTCTTGCTCTTCTTTGTGGCGGAATGCTTCCTTCCTTGTTTTGTTTAGCCCCCCTGTCTTCTTAACAGGAGTTCAACGATGGGTCTTATGGTTTCTTCATACTTGGTTGAGCTATTTATTCCACACGCTCTTTTCACTCTTCCCTCATTGAACTTTTTCGGAAGTTTCACTTTCGAACTCCTTTTGCTTTCCTGTTCTCCGATATCGTACGCTGGAAAGATGTCGATTGAAGTGCATTTTTTCCTCTTCTATCATTGTAATTACAGGTTTGGCGTTCATTATGACGGGGAGGAAGGGCATGAAGGTCTTCTGTTCCCAAATTAAAAATCAAGGTTTCTATGTGGAGCTGGACTCTGGTTGAATCGAAGAAAAAGTTGGTTGATACTGTGAAATGTTGAGGCAATTTCTCAATATCCAATGTGTGCCTAAGCACAAGGATCGAAATTATGGGCCTTGGCGGCCCTCTATAAGTCTCTGCTCCAAACTGGGTCCTGTAATTCAGTTCTGTGAGTGATCGGAGCAGTCGATGGGATCTCACCATGATATACATTCTTTTTGTGCTCTCCTCCATATGTTGCTTTCCAAGAATATGTTTGCCCCTGCCAACAGAGTTTTTGACAAAATGATTGGTTATTGCATTGTGAATTCTTCTGATTTATCTGTTCCAATTTGTGAAGGCCTGAGGAGGTATGGTGCAAGTGGAAAATTAGGAGCGGCGTGTAGCTTCTTGCTTGATGGTTACCGCAAATATAGAATGGTCGATCAATGCATGAGTACGTTTCACTATATGTGCAAATTGCGCATTGTGGTATCACATTCCTCGTTATCAGGAATGTTGGATTTTTTGGTTGATTTGAATCGTGCTGATGAACTTATCGGTATTTACAAGTCCATGTGCAAATCATTTGGAAGTCAGTGTCATAGAGCTATTTATGAGCATGCAATGGATAGGTTCTTGAAGAGGGGGGAAATTGAAAAAAGCTGGAATTTTCATCATGCGGTGATTGATGGTGGCGTTGTCCTTGATATCATAGCGTGTAACAAGATCATGAGAGCTCTTTGCGAGAGACGTCAAAACAATTTAGCTCTTCGATATCTGAATATGTTAAAGGTAACTGGTCCAAAGCCATCGGTAGCGTCTTTCAGTATTTTGGTTAATGGTTTCTGTAAGGAGGGTAGATTGGACGAGGCATTTGAGGTGTATGAGCTCATGGCAAAGAATGGTGTCGATCCCGATCTTGTAACTTATACTATTCTCATTGGTGGTCTTCTAAAAGCTAAAAAGTTGGATAAGGGTTATGCTCTTCTCTCAGAAGCATTGAATAAAGGTATTGAGTTCGATGTGGTGACTTATAGTTCAATTATGGATGCATTTTTGAAAATTGGAGATTCGAGAAGGGCTGCTGTGTTATATAAAAGATGTTTGAAGTCGGGGATCAAACCAAATATGATCACGTATGGCATTATTATCAATGGGATGTGTCTGAATGATCGGATAATGGAGGGATGTGGGATGTTTGGTCATATATTGAAGCTTGGTTATGTGCCTTCTCTCTTGACCTATAGCAGTCTTCTTGGAGGCTTGTGCAAATTTGGATACTTAAGAGATGGTTTTAGGTTGTTTGGTGATATAGTGAAGAGTGGTGAAGAGCCTGATATCATTGTCTATAATGTGCTGATAAATGGTCTTTGTAAGCAAGGCTTGATGGTTGATGCTCTCAGATTCTTTTATCAGAGCGTTGGCCATGGGCTTAATCCGAATGTCTTTATTTTCAACTCCTTGATAAACGGCTGGTGTAAATTAAGATGTATAAGAAATGCTTTAAAGGTGTATAACCAGATGGGTTGTTATGGCGTAAGACCTGATATTGTGACTCAAACCATGCTCATAAGCGTGGTTATTGAGTTGGGAAGACTGGATTATGCTTTGCTGCTTTTTTTCCAATTATTGAAGAAGGGTTTCTCACCAGACGTTGTAACTTATTGCACTCTTATTGATGGTGCATGCAAGCAACATAACTCAACTCTTGGGTTAGAGATTTTCAAGATGATGCAGTGGAATGGAGTGATAGCAGACATTGCAATATATAATGTTCTCATTAACATGTTGTTAAAGGAAGCTCGTCTAGGAGACGCTCTACAGCTTTTTGATGAAGTTAAAGAAAGAGGCTTAGAGCCTGATATCGTGACATACAATACCATGATCTGCGGGTATTGCTCTTTGAAAATGCTGGACGAGGCGGTTCAACTTTTTGAGAAGCTTAATTATGGACAACTAAGACCGAATACCATAACATTTACAATTCTAATTGATGCTCATTGCAAAGAAGGTAAAATGGACGGAGCAATGTCTTTGTTCAGAGAAATGTTGGAAAAGGGTCCGGAACCTAATCTCATCTCTTACAGTTGTCTAATTGATGGGTACTTTAAATCTCAGAACCTTGAGAATGCCTTTGAGCTTTATGAGGAGATGCTAAATAGGAAGATTTCTCCAAATATAGTTTGTTATAGCATTCTTATTGATGGTCTTTGTAAAAGGCGACTCATGACAGAAGCATCGCTTGCATTTCATTGTGCTAAAGACAGGCATTTAGTGCCTGATGTAATAGCATACGCGATTTTGATTCTTGGCTATTGCAAAGTTGGAAGTATAGCAGAAGGCCAGATGTGGTATGAACGCATGTTAAGAGACGGGATAGTGCCAGATGATGTCATGAAAACAACAATTTTGGAGCCTTACCTTAAGCTTGATTAGTTATGAGTAAGCATTATAATCCTTTCCTTTCGGCAACTATTATAGTAGAATCTCTTGGTATACTTATCTGTGAAGTCAACTGGGTGGATTCTAAATGCGATGTAGAATTCACCTTACACACAGTGGATTCAGTTCATTGAAAGGCTTATATGACTACCAATAGCTGCATTTGTCATTAGAAGATCATTTTGTTTTGCTTTTCACAGGATGCGAAATTAATTGTCTGGATGATTTCTAGCTTTACATCAGTTTTTCAAATCCCACTATAAATTGTATAGTTGTACCTGAAAGATAAAATGTTGAAATGAACTGGTTTACCCCTTTTGAAGATGACAGAATTAACCTCAAGCATCTCCTTCGAAATTGATTTTGGTCTCTCTAGTCCAACTGGGTATATCTCCCTGATGATGTTTGTGCTCATCATTGTTTGTAGATTTTGCCCTACAATATAGTTATAGATCTGGAACATGCATTTGTTGGCTGGTCAGCGTTTTGGAGAAATAGTTGGAAGGTCATATCGCATGGATCCAGAGATGCTAGCAGGGTGAGGGACCAGATGTTGATGCATCTAGGACAGGCACTGCGTTTTTTGGGCTGGCAACTACTTTCTTTCAAATTGATTAATTTTCTTTGCCAAGGTGTCAATTCTGACTTTCTTTTTTATTTTCTTGTTTTTTGGTGTTGCATCTGCTAAGATGGGCGGTATCATATTTATCTAGCAGAACTGGAGAAAGAATTGCAAGGCCAGTGGTGGGGCAACGTAAATATTGACGGGGATCCTTGGCCAAACCATTGTGGAGAGGATGGGCGTTGTCCTTATTAACCATCTGAAAAATCCTTGGTGTGGAATTGCTCTCTAAAACCTTGTATTGTTTGAGATGTTGTTTCTCTCGACTATCATTGGTCTGCGTGAACACACAAATTAATGCATCTAACTGTTTGACAAGAAAATAGAGGCAGATGGTTAGGCAATGACTCACTCCACTGGTAGATGGTGTCTAGAAGCACTTTGACTGCATTAGCTAATGGGGGAGCAGCACCAAAAAATTAAGTAGGTGAGCTATATCTGTGATCTTGTATATATCACATTTTCTTTCAGGACTGTGATGTTTCTATTTGGAATAGATGTTCAGTAACAAACTCGGCTTGGTCCATCAATGTTAACTATCCCTAATAGTCTCGTACTTGCTGCTTCTGTGAATTCGGGTAATGTTTCATTAGGATTAAAAAAAGTTTGGAACAATGAAATTTTAGCAAATCAACTGATCATTTACCGTGCTGAGTCTAGACAAAATGTGAAATGTGGGCAAAGCGTGGGAGAAAACATCTGACCATGTTCCAGGAACCACATCTATACTGTCAAATAGTAAGTGAGCAAATTCCGCGGATGCGTTCTCCTTCAGAAGGCATGCATGATAGTGCTAGTCATTACTCACTGTTTCATGTAATGTTTAGTACTGTGCTGCACTTTTTCAGCAATGCAATGTTTTCCGAGTTAAATTTCATTTACACCTTCATCCTGAGTTGGGTCAAAGATCTTATATCAGAATTGGTAAAGATGAGATTTGAGATGCTATTCAGTTTGACCTTGTAGCATGTGCATTTCCTCGCCTGTAAACGCATGTTTCTAGTTCGAGATAGCAATTTATGTGCACATAATTACATTCAAGAAGAAAGCCTACCATTCATTTTTTTCGCCAGTAGCTTTACTATTTTTTTCCTTTCGGCAGACTTGACTTGAGGCTGAGGGTCGAAGCCTCCTCGTCGAAGTAAAATAGGTGGCTATCTATCACAGGCTGGTTCATTGAAAGAAACTGGTCAATATCGATTATCTTTGGGCACGGTTGGGGATTGATGATGGAACAGCCTATTTATTTTTTTTCGCCTACTTTGCAAAATTGTTTGATATCGGTCTTCAGTCCTATTGTATACTGATAATTTTTTATCAGGGGACATGGTAAAATGTGTTCTCTTTTTTCCCTCTTTAATTCTTTCACATTGTGTGGGAATTCATGCTATGACAACTTTGTTGCCATTTTTGGGGATCGAACACTGATCGCGTCCCTGAACCGTTCATTCCCCTTGTCACCAGATCGATGTGCCGGTGGTGAATCAATTTCATTTCTATTGCAATTCATTATCCCCTCAACGCAACTCAATGCTTTTGATACTGTATTACTGCCATCTCTATGGCACAAATAATCAATAGCACGTCGATATGAATTTAGGCATTGAACGCACTAAATCTTCTTCGACCTCAGCCAATTATCTGCATTGCTTTTTGTGAAAGTTCTTGGAAGAAATTCTGCGCAAGGGCCTGGGATTGTAATTGGGCTTTAGGGGTGTTCTTGTCTTGTTCCAGATACTGGCCCGCTATGTAGCCCAATATGGTTCTCTCTGACCGCCAAATTCTGCTGCAATTATGAATTTCCATCCATCTAACCAGGAAAAGAAAAATATCCGACTCCCTTCTTCTGACGATCTTCGTTCTGGACATGGCTTGGAGCTGCTTCTCATGTACCGCTTCAATTCCGCTGCAACCCCAAGGTTTTTGTTTCTTCTTCACCACCATCTTCGTTCCAACACACCCACTTCATTTGATGGTGCATCTGACGACGTGTCTCATGTGCAATGACGACAGTGAATTTCAGACCCAGTAGCCAGAAATGCCTTCAAGACGTCAGGAACATGGTGAAGTCGATCGGGATCCACTCAATCAGGTCTTCTCCCGTCGATTCTCTCAAGAATGGAAACTGGGTCAAGCTTATTTGCGGTGCTAGTTTTGAGGTGACTAAGATTTTGAACCTCGGAATTCTTGCTTTTTTGTGCTTTCTTGTTAAGCTTCCTGAGCGCCTCGGTCTTGTCTGTTTCTAGGATGTGGTTGACATCAGGAATCTTTCTCTGGTTTACACTTTAGCTGGAGGTTGGACATTTTCAAGGCCCTTTCGTTTGTGTTTCGGAGTTGTTTCTCTTGTCACTTTGTTACGTGTGCTTTGTGACGGTGAAATGTTTTTGAATGGGGAATCTGGAAATCATGCGCAGTGGACTGCATTGACTGCGCTGCCGATGAATCAGTGGTGAATGCAGTGAACCAGGGGATTGAGGCGGCGAGAGAAATCGTGGAGGTTGGGAGGCCTTGGGTGATGATCAGTGTTAATGACGATGAAGATCTTCACTTTCGCAAAGCTGGTAAATAAATGCCCTTTTGAATGAAGCGCAACCTCCTCATTGGATTGGCTACAAGGAAATTTGAGCCTATGCACTAATTTAAACCTATATGGTATCCAAAGTGAGGACCTTAGGACATGATCTGCTGTGAATATGGTTGTTTAAGCTAGCTCTGGCTTACTATATAGGTGACTTATAGTTCTTAAATACGAACAGCCATGTTTGGTTACTTGTGCATTAAGCTGGTTTTGCAAGGATCAGTTAAAAGTGACTATTGTGATTTTTTCATGACCTTAAGAATTTTTTTGACAGAGTTTGATCCAGCTGACTGCCCCCAAGACTGCTCAAGGCCTTGTGAGATTGTATGTCCTGCTAATGCGATATCACTAGAGAAAGAAAAATCCTCAGCAGGCCATCTTTGGAATACCAATGATGAGGGTAAAAAACAGGTCCTTGTTCTCTATCATGGTTCACCGAGGACTCAAGCTAGTTGATCTTTTAATTTTGTATTTGGATTCTGTGGAAAATTTGACATGGGAATATGCAGGGTGGGGTTTTGACTGAGCGATGTTATGGTTGTGGGCGATGCATTCCAGTTTGCCCATATGATAAAATAAGTGCGTTTCTCTCCTTCTCAAAGTGCTATTTTAACCTCCTTGCTTCTTTACACATGGTTTCCCAATCCACATTTTCTCTGCTGTCATCATTTTGTCACGTTTTAATGCTAATCACCTTCAATTTGACTTAGGAGTGCATACATACGTAAGAGACGCTGCTGCTACTTCTGAGCTTTTGAGAAGAGAAGATATTGATGCTTTAGAAATACATACGAGCGGAAGGTAATAGTTTGGTGATGGATGTGAAATCCGTGTTTGTTAATATATGGGACTGGCAATGAATGATTGGGACTTTCTTACAGCAACTTTTACCTTGTATACCCTTGAATTCTTGATGTTTTAAGTGAAAATGATATGTTTAACCTTGTAGCATCAATGTTATCAAAGGATTATTGACTTTTTTGTAGCAACTCTTACCTCGGTCATACCCTTGAATTCCTGATGTTTGAAGTGAAAATGATATATTTAACATCATAACATTCATGCTATCAAATGGGAAAGAAAAGACCAACAACATCTTGCCCATCTGACATTGGTCTTGATACGTTCTGAAGATAAATAATGTGGTTGATCTAAGTATATGTCCTGTTTTGAGCCTTTGATTCCCTTTTTCGCAGGCAAACTTTGCACTTTAGGTCACTTTGGGAGGGTTTGGGAGATGCGATCCACCATCTGAGATTAGTGGCGGTGAGTAAAGAACCTTTGCATGTTTGGCCAGAATAAAATGTTAGTTATTTGGGTACATGCTGAGTGGATAGATAACTTTTGCGCTTTAAGAACTCCAGGTTAGCTTGCCCGATGTTGGGGATTCAACCATCTCTACAATGAATGCCATGTATTCAATCATGGAACATCGCCTACGTTGCTTTAATTTGTGGCAGGTGCGCGCATCCTTGCTCTAAAACCTCCTATCATTGCATTTCCAGGACCTACTGTGTGTGATATATGAAGGCTTAAAGCAGCTGCTTTAATGTGATTTATTGCAGTTGGATGGCCGTCCTATGAGTGGGGATATCGGACGTGGTGCCACAAGGGAATCTATCGCCTTTGCTGTTCGTCTGGTTGCTGCAAGTGACAGACCTAGAGGTTAGTAAATTTTATGTTCTCTCTTTTCTTCCCTTGGCTAAGAGTAGACATATTCATTTTATTAATAGAATGCCTATTATTGCTTTACTCTTGTAATGTAGGTTTTCTTCAATTGGCGGGTGGCATCAATGCTCATACAGTTGCCGGACTAAAGAAACATGGGCTTTTCCAAACTAAATCTTTTTCTGGTGTTGCCTCATCTCTCATAATTTGTTCTCTCTGTTGTTTTCCTTTTTATCTGTTGTTTTTTTTTTCCATCTCTCCTGGTTTTAAGCTAATCCCCTTATGTATTAGAAGAGAACTTCGAGGATGGGCAATCAAAAGTTGGATCGCTCTGGCCATTGGATGCTCCTATTGGAGGCGTAGCTTACGGAGGGTATGCTCGCAAGGTTAGTAGATTGATCATGTTCTTTTCAGCTTGTCCATAGAAAGGGTACTTTCTCACACTTGGTGGTGATCAGTAAGTTTGAGTAAAAGATATGGTAAACGAGCTATTCGCTCATGATCAGGTCGTTGGGAGAATTCTCAGCTCTATGCAGTCTCAGCATGGACTGACTTGCATAGAAGAATCTCCAGATTATCTCTTGAAGGCGCTAGCAGAAGCACTTGCTTTAGTTGGAACTGTTAAATGCTACAATATCCTTTCTTAGACAGCATTAAGTGAGCAACTTGGGTCTCAAATTTAAGTAGCTCCTGTTTCCCTTTATATGAATTTCGATCTTGAATTTCCAATCGCAAATCTTGCCTCTGTGAATTCTCAGTTAACTTTCTCATGGATTATGTTTCCTTCTCGTCATGCCAAACAAACGGTTCAAGAAAATGTTCATACACTCTCGGGTTATAACGCATTGAATTTTCTCAGCTAACCGTACAAATTGTTACAAGTGATTAGATCATGTCCTATATATCATGGGCAACATAATTTGCTACTTGCATTCACTTTCAAATGCGATGCGCATGTGTCACGGTCCGACGGTTCAACCACCTTAATGCCATTCCCACGAACCAATTGTGCTACATCATTCATTCTTCACCCCGATACCACAAAAGCTTCACTCTTCAACTCACAAGGCGATGGGAGAATTCAGTCCATGATATTCTCCTCCACCCAATTCCACAATGCAATCGTCGTGGGCTGCTCTGTCGCTTCTTTGTGCCCCACAACCATCAATGTCACTCCATTGGACTTACATGACTAGAGCGCTCGCCCAACAAAACAAGCTAGTATCTTCCCCCGATCAAAGTTATTCACGAGGGTCCAATCCCTTGTGCTCCCCGACAAATGTGGCATACAAAGCCAACTGCTCTCCCTCGACAGCACTTTCTTTCACTTTCTAGGCTTCTCCTGATCTTAGCAAGCCAATGGAGGTTTCTCTCATTGTTTGAAGTGCGGTAACAAACCTCCTTTAGAGATTTGCCCATGATCCAAGAACGTTTTCCTATTCGGTGAACAATTCGGTTAATTTCTACCTTCTTATTGCCATCCTAGAAGCTTGCCGAGAGCCGTACCTTGTCCAAGCCCCTCTAGCCTCGACGATCACTCCCCGCCCTCATATGATTAGGTAGATCATAGGCTTTTCTTAAATCATCCACCTATTGGAGTGATCTTGTTCTAATACCATTTGTCACGGACGGATAATTCCTTGACCGCGGGATAGTCGCTCGGTGCCTGGTGAGCTGAGAACACCAGGCCAACCTTTCTTCTATAGATTGTTCCTAAGGATAGTATAGCAAATTGTATCTTCACACTGGATCATATCACGTCTAGTTTAACTTGGGCATCCAATCCCTCGAACAAGATATACAAATCATTTTGGTACAACAACTAGTTTCGGTTTGCCATGACTTTATCAGGAGTGTGGTATCATCTCTCCACCAATTTGTACACGGGAGGCCAACCCGCCTTTAGAGATCCTTAAATTTGGCATTTGTCCCACTCCAGGAGTTCTAGCATAAACTCTCTGACACCATTTTCACGAACCAGTTGTATTATCCCATTTGCATCATTCACTCTTCACCCCAATGCCACAAAGCTTCACTTTTCAGCTCACAAGGTACGGGAGAATTCGGTCGGTGAGACACGCATGTGAATTAACTCAAGCATGAATGTGTTTATTTCTTAACTTCCTTTTCGCAGGTCGAACACGAAAAGAGACTCATATGATTCAAGGGAAAATTTAACTCTTTCCATGCGTCGGGCTTATGCTGTTGAGGAAGCATTTGCTCAACATTAACATTCCACTAGATTGCCAATCAACGGGCATAATGGGTTATCACGTTCAGGGTTCCGATTACCAGCAAAACATACCTCGTACCCGTCTTGAACTCTACAAGGTTTCGTAATTGATTTCTCGAACCGGTCCCGTAACTCAGTTGCAACCCATTTAAGCCTATTAACATTCGCGACGGGTCAAGTACCGTGTTAGATCCCAACGTTTTTGCGTTGAGTCTGCATAAGCATTCTCTACGTTGCTTGGGATGAAGGGCTCTGGTTTGACAGTAAGTTATAAACGGGATGTCCTGAATCTGGGGGTTGAGTTGCCAAGCCATATTTGGATTGCATGTCACTCAAAGTGTACAAGTTTGCAATCCTCGCGTAGTATATACATCAGAAAAACTAGATTCCAAGTGAAAATCCATTTCAATATATCATTTTTATAATATTTTATAGCTGATATTAATTATAAACCTTTGGTATACATGGAATATCACTTTGTGTCAGATATTATGTATCGTATATTATACGATCAAAGTGTTCACGCCGCGTCAATGCGCGGACTCTCCACAAAACAGCTGGTTCTAACATAAAGGGCTTCATGTGGAAGTTACATAATTGCTAACAAAAATATTTACTAAAAGATAGAAAAACCGAAAAAATAAAAAATAAATTTAGTAGCAGCAGTGAAGGCCAAGACTCTACAACGATTTACTGACAACTTGGTACCTACTAAATCATAATCTATCTGCTTTCTCAAAGTAATACGACGGTCCAAAGTCAGACAACGCCTTTTTTCGCCGACAATGTTGCTACAACTTGTCATTTGAAAATTCTCTAAAGGTCGGTCCAAATAACCCAAAAAGAAAAAAAAGGGGGTTATTTAGATGTGGAGTCAAGTCAACTTCCCTTCAGACCAAAAAAAAAAAAGGTCAACTTCCCAAATGAAATTAAGGAAACGACCTTGAATCGTAAATGAGCGTTAGTTAGGTATTTCCTTTTTCCCGTTTGGGTACTTTAACGTATGAGGTCGTATTAGTAGTCCTCATTGCTTTTCTTACAATGAGGTAATTAAATGAATCTTACTCTGTTGAACATTGAAAGAGTCAAACTCAATTTGTGGTGAAAATGCCTCGTGCCTAATGGTGCTTGACCCTTATGGTCTAGGGGATGTGGGTTTGCTTCTCTGTTAATGACTTGATATTAGGTAGGTCCATCATTCATGGATCCTATAGGCTCACAATCACATGCACTATTAATTGACCCCTGATGGATGAGTTATGGACACATGTGAGTAACTATTACTCATATGAGTAATCCACCTGGCAACTTAGAGCTCTTTGGGTCGATGAAACTCGGCCTTGTACGGTCGAGCTGCCAGGCACCACTACCAACGGTCCAGATCTCGTCGTCATCATTGATCGTGAGAATTTCCCGTGAGAGAGAGAGAGAGAGAGAGAGAGAGAGAGAGAGAGAGGCGCTCGTGGTGGACGTAGCAATGACGGTATCGAGGTGGTAACGGCAGCAAGACAGCTGAGGGGCAACGGGGTGAGTCTGCTCAAGCTAGTGGGGGATAGAGAGGAGATACAAAGGGCCTGAGACTAGGGCAACTAACCATGTAAGTGGGAGAAAATTTTTAATGCTACTACATAGTCGCATGCCAATCTAGGTCCCGAAAAACCCATCCCCGAGTTACTCGGCGGCGGCAGTGGAGACAATGAGTCCAGGGTTCAAGTACTTGACTTCCTGATCTGTTGGAAGGCCAAGATCAAGGGCTTAAAGTTTCGTCTCTCAAAAGCAAGGACTCGAAGAAGAAGTCTTAGGTGAATAACTGTGATCTCAAGATTAGGAGCCAAATCGGACCGAGAAGAAAGAAGGAAGGCTTCATCTACTCGAAGCCCTTAAAGAAGTTGAAGGTTTGGAATTTCAAAAAAAAAATATAAAATGTTTAGTACTGAATTGGTACCAATACAATAAGTTTATGACTTTTTTGGCATTTTTCTCGTAGAAATCTTTGTAGATATTGTATCCTCGGCATCTTCTTTTATCGTGATCACTCTACTTATCGCATGATTCATATGCTTACAGTATCTACCATTATTGGACTACAAAGAGAGAAGTACCAAGCATGCAAGCAATATGATGGGAACTGGTGTGAACCTAAAGAAGTCACTCGAAAAAGAGAGTTTGATCCTCGCATCCCCATAAAATAAATCTTCTTTAAATATTCCCTTTTCTTGGATCAACCCCAACTCCATGTTTACTTACATTAGTACATACATCTACCTACCTATATAATAATATAAAATAAGATAAAGAAGATTGATTCACGAATTACTCGGCAGCTGCCTCTAAGTTCTCTAGGCGCATTATTCTCTCGCATTTTAATTAATTAATCTCCACGGCTACCTAAACATTATTGGATCACCAAGAGAGAAAACAAAAATAAAATGAAAAACCCACGTGCCAAGGTAATAATCACATGCAAAGGCGGGTAAATACCTTGCAAACGACGTTTGCGTAGTAGCCTGGCGTTCAAGAATGAGGGTTTGAATATTATTCGTAGCACACCTTGGTGCATGTGTACAGCTTTGTGTCCACAGTTTTTTAACACATTTTCACTTCACCAAAATTGTAAGTAACGACTTTTATATTGCCTTAAATATTCTTGGAGACGTCAAATTCACTCTATACTCGTATTTATCCAAGCTGGCAATGTCGGTCAAGTCAAGCGCAGATGTTGCCAAAACCCTACATAAATAGAGAGCGTAATGAACTTCCCATGCATTATGGTGTTGTGTACTTGGCACATAAAGAGAGAGCAAAATCAAGAACGCAAGCCAAGCCTAGTGCCAACCAAGTGTTTGCTTGGTGGTGTAAGGGGAAAACGAAAAATGAGAGCATCAAGGTGGTGGTTGTTGTTGCTATCGGCACTCGTGTTGGTGAGCTCATGCGCGGTGCTGCGCATAGAGGCGGCGGTGGGGATTGAGCCGCCGTTGAAGCTGCAGTGGCATTACTACCGGAACTCATGCCACAACGCCGAGACGTACGTGACGCACCAGGTCAAGTACTACTGGAAGCAAGACAGGAGCCTCGCTCCTAAGCTCATACGAATGCTTTATGCCGACTGCTTCGTCACGGTACGTATCGTCTGTTTTTATCCTCTCTCGAACGATCTTTAAGTCTGCATCACTTCAATATCGAATTTCCATCCGCCTTCTAAGCACGTGATATCCCTTTACCCAATGGAGAAACCTATCGAACCGGGCTTTCTAATATACCATACTAGTGGAAATCGTACAAGTACGTGCAATAACTTGTAATATAGGATCACGTGCAAGTCATTGGTGAACTGACGAATATTGTTGTTTTTTTTTTTTTGTATACATATGTATAAAACAAAGCCTTGGATTCAGATATGTTTGGTTATATGTATAAAACAGGGGTGTGATGCGTCGATTCTATTGGACGGGCCACATTCAGAGAAAACAGCACCACAAAATGCAGGGATTCTAGGGTTTCCTATGGTGGTAATAGACAAGATCAAGCAAGTCCTGGAAGAACGTTGTCCAGGAGTTGTCTCTTGTGCTGACATTCTCAACCTTGCCGCTAGAGATGCTGCTAACTTGGTCTGTACATGGTTCGCAGTTTTCTTTTTTGGCTTGAAAAGAAATTGTTTTGGCTTGCCCTGATTGTTGACATGCTGTTAGCTTGAGTTTGTAGCGTTGAATGTGGAAAATTAGAATCACTGACACGATAATGATGTTGTAATAGGCGGGAGGGCCGTCGTACCCTGTTCTGACGGGGAGGAGGGACGGGATGTCATCGTCCGCGGCCACGGTAGACCTCCCGTTGCATGCCATCTCGTGGGAATCGGCGCTCGCTTACTTTGAATCAAGGGGCTTGAATATGCTGGACCTTACCACTTTACTTGGTACGATCGACCCTCACATGAAAAGTATTTAATTGACTTGGACCTCATTAAATTACCTTAGATCTTAAGCAATCCGGGCAACTTGTTCAGTTTAGTGCGGTTGCGAGGGAAAAATAAATCATGATGTTCCTTTTCGCTTTAAAGTTTTCTAAATCGCTGTCTAGTTGTCATGATACAAAGAATTATCAGATATAGGATAGTCGAGGATATAATCCGAACCAATCCTCCTAGTGATCTCCTCCAAGCGCACAAAATGACATGCTCATGTATTATGTCAATCTCAATCACGACCAATTCCTAACTTGCCAAAAAAATATGAAATTCGCCAGGGGGGCATTCAATGGGCAAGACCAACTGCAGCTTCATCACGGACAGACTGTACAATTTCAACAACACTGGCAAGCCAGATCCAAGCATGGATTCATCCTTCTTGGCCCAAATGAGGGACCAATGCCCACCAAACTCAAAGAACCAAGTGTACCTTGACCCTGACTCAGGCTCGAGCTACAGCTTCAGCAAGTTCTTCTACGCCAGGGTCCTGAAACACGAGGCCGTCCTCGGGATCGACCAGCAGATCGCCAGCAACAACGACAGCTCCCAGATTGCTCAGGAGTATGATGCCAGTTTCGAGGACTTCCGGAAGATGTTCGCCCTGTCAATGAGCCGGATGGGGAACATTAAGGTCTTGACAGGGAATCAGGGGCAGATTCGCGAGAATTGCCGAGTCGTGAACGGGAAATAATCCCCACTAAGATCGAAATGATCTTGCAAACATTACGTCAATGGAAGCATAATTTGTCCTAAGATGAAAGTAAAAGTTCTCAAATGGGTTTTCTTGTATTCGATTATGATATCTTGGGTGGTATTAATGAAATGAAAACAAGGCATGAAGAACATTGAAAGTGCTCTTATTGTTATTGTTAGTAGCCCAATTGTTTGGCCTTAAGAACAATCGAAGAAGCCATATATATCAATTTGCAAATGAAACAATTTCGCGAAGAGCTTTACATACAATTTGTGCCATCGCACTGGCTCTTCATTTGGGGCATAGCGAGCCATCAAACAAAGATTTATGACTGGTGACACAAATTTGATCGTCTGTACGCACATTCCTGGATCAAGTAAACCTACTTTCTCGCTCGCACAATGAACGAAAAATGCTTCCGGCAAGCCATTACAATGAATGGCCAAAGGTTTAGTGACAAAGAAAACTTGAATGGCCAAAGAATATCACTTGTTACCATCTTTCGAGCGCCAATCCTCTATCCGATTCCTGTCCAAGACTTGCAAATCTCGCCCTAACATGCTCCAATTTGAGTTAAACAGTATGGTAAACGAGCTATTGACTCGTGATCAGATGGTCGGGAGGATTTTCAGCTCTATGCAGGCATAGCATGGGCTGACTTGTATAGAGGAATAACCAGATTATCTCTGCAAGGCACTCTCGGAAACCCTTGCTTCACTTGGAATCGTCAAATGCTACGATATATCCCTTCTTAGACGGCATTAAATTAGCGACTTGTGTTTCGAACATCAACAGCTCCTGTTTCCCTTTATATGAATTGCAATCTTAAAAATGCAATCGAGAAATTTGCCTGTGTTAATGCTCAGTCAAGTTTCTCAAGGATTATGTCTCCTTCTCATCACGCCAAACAAACGATACAAGAAAATGGTCAGATATTCTCAGGGTATGACGCACAGATATTCCCAGCTAACTGTAGAAATTGCTGCAAGTGATTAGATCATGTCCTATATATCACGGGAGACATAATTTGCTACTCGCATTGGCTTTCAAATGTGATGCGCATGCATGTGAAGTGACTCGAGCACGTATGAGTTCCTTTCTTAACTATCTTATCGCGGGTCGAACATGGAGAGAGACTTGTATGATTCAAGGGAAAATTGAACTCTTTACCATGAGTCTGGCTTATGTTGTCGAGGAAGCACTTGCTCGACATTATCATTTCACTAGATCGCCTATCAATGGGCACTATGAATTATCAGGTTCGGGGTTCGGCTAACTAGCAAAACAAACCTCGTACCCGTCTCAAACTCTAAGGTTTTGTAAATGATCTCAAACCGGTCCCCATAACTCTTGGTTGTAACCCATCTAAGCTATTAACGTTCGCGACTGGTCAAATACCATATTAGGTCTCACCCATTTTGAGATGAGTCTCCACAAGCATTCTCTACATTGCTTGGGATGATCGGTTCTGGTTTGAAAGAAGTGATGAACGGGGTGTCCTGAAACTGGGGGTTGCCAAATACTAATGGGATTTTTGAAACAAGCTCTTGGAGAATCGGAAGAATCAAACTCCTCCCACTCACATCATAGTAGGAACACCAATGAAGATGATTGTTACGGTATCAACATTGGTGATGATGATGAAGAAGAATAAAAGACAAAGAAGGAACGATCATTGTCTGAAGTTTTCTTCACTTTAATAATGAAGACAGAAGAATCTCAGTCTTTTGAGCTTTCAAATTTTACTATAGCATCTTTCATACTTTTCACTGTAACATTGTGCACCTTTTTCTGTTCATTTTAGAGACAAGCACAGTAACCTCATGTGAACCTTTAATAATATCTTACCTTTTCTAAAAAGAACTCTCTCTCAAGGAGGATCCTGGCCTATATAAAGACCTCTTCCCTTAACAAAACAAGCATGCTTTGCTTACACACCTCTCTTTCGTACTTCCCTTTCACATCGTCTTCACATCATCCTCTCCTTCACACTTCCCTTCTGCATCTAAAACCCAACCTTCCCTTGAACCAAACACTGGGTTCTGATCATACCTAGTAAGCTTTTCATATTCCCAGCCAATTTTTTCATATTCATATTCACATATCCATATCATTCCTAAAACACCTTTATAATTTCGGATCTTGTTCATGATTTAGGGATACAAAGGTTTTACTTTTTGTAATTTGCACCTTTATATTTGTATTTTTTATATCTCTACTTGTAATCTTTCAATATTGTTAAAATATCAGTAATTAGCTTAATCTTTTCTTAATCTGCAATTTATATTACAGTAATTTAATTTACATACCCACAATAGGCAGGTTTTATCGCTTATGGTTGGTTTGCACTTCTTCTTACCGCTGTACCCTTTTCTCTTAATGCTCACTCTTTTATTTAGTTTTATTTTATTCATAACCGTATATCTTTTTATTTAGAAATCGAAACTATTAATAATTTTATTGATTTTATTGATAATTTAATACAAACCATATAACTCTATCAGACCTCTTGTTCTTATTCATATTCATCCACTTTCTTCAAAAGAAGACGAACAGAATAGTTTCACTCTTCTCTACTTATAATCTCTAGACTTCATTCTTCTCTACTTATAATCCCCAGACCCTAGGGCAAGAAATCTGATTTTGGTTTGGAAAAGGGATATCTTAGTAGGTGATACTACTAAATCATTTTTCTTAACAACGTTAATAAAATGACTAATATGTTTAAAATGTTGGTCAATAATGGAGGAAAATATGAGAACATCATCTATATATATAATGATATAATTAGAATATGGATTAAAAATATCATTCATGATTCTTTGGAACTCAGATGGAGCATTTTTTTAATCCAAATGGCATGACATTCCATTCATATTGTCCAAATGGGATAATGAAGGTAGTTTTATGTATATCCTTTTCATTGATTTGTATTTGCCAAAATCCTGATTTCATATCAAATTTAGGAAATACTTTTGAACACAATTTGTTCTTTGTTGTCTTTTGACTGTTTTAGAATTCCTCCGTATCCTATATTTGAAGCATCTGTTTCAACAATTTTGAAAGCAAATGGGTCGGCAAGATGTAAACAAGGAATTTCCTTAATACTTTGTTTAATCTGTTTTACAATATTAGTATGAGTTGAGGTCCATGGTGGAGGTTCTTTTTTAAGTCTTTGGTGGAGGGGTTTGCAAATTAAGTTTATATTAGGAAAAAAACTCTATAACATAATTCAAACTCCCAAGAAATCTTTGTAATTGATTTTTATCTCGGATTTCATTAGGAAAATTTTCAGCAAAAAGTATTGATCTTGCAATTGGTATAATGGTTCCTAAATGAATATAATGTCCTAAAAATCTGATTTTGGTTTGGAAAACGGATATCTTTATATATATATATAAAAGAAAATATACATTGCAAATGAAAACCATTTTAATATATCATTTATAATGTTTTGTAGCTGAAAACCAAGGGAGCCCAAGTTCTAGTCCGTCTATATATGCAGTTGGACTTATGGGCCAACTAGGATATATTAACTACTTCACACCACATCAATTTTTCGACGTGAGACTTTTCTAAAGTTACATAGCTAACCAAAATAAATAAGGGATATGTTCACTAGAAGTCCTAAAACTTGTTACGAAAGTGCAATTGAGTCCTCAAAATTATAAAAAGTGCAATCAAGTCCTAAAACTTGTCAAATTAGTTCAATCAAGTCCTAAAGTTAACACCATCCAATTTGGCTAATAGAAAATGCTGACGTGGCTTTTTATTATTTTTTATCCTATGTGGCGATGACATGGATTTTTCAAAATTATTTTAATACTAATTTTATTTAAATTAAAATTTAAAAATAAGCTAAAAAAAAAATGGAGGAGGAGGACAGGCGAGGAGGGCAGCCCACCCCGCCGCCGTCGCCACCCCACTATTGCCGGGAGGGGCCAGCGAGGGTGGGGGACGGTAGGCGGGCGTTGTCGGGCCCTGGCTAGGGGTCGGCGACCCTCGCCGACGGCAGGTGAGGGCCTGCGTGGTGGTCAACCCTCAGCCAGGTCTGGGCGAGAGCTAGCGACTCTCGCTCGATCTAGGCCAGGGCCACGATCCCGCCTGCCGTCCCCCACCCTCGCTGGCCCCTCCTAGTGATGGTCGGGCGGCGGTGGCATAGAGGGCTTGTGGCCTTCCACGCCTGTCTCCTCCTCCTTTTTTTTTTAAAGCTTATTTTTTAAATTTGATTTAAATAAAATTAGTATTAAAAATCGAATTTGGGCCAAAACGACATCATTGTAGTCTAATGTTTCATATTTTAGCCACGTCATTGCTACTTAGGAGAGAGAAAATATTAAAATAAACCACGTCAACATTATTCAATTGAATCAATTTGACAAATTTTAGAACTTGATTGTACTTTTTGTAAGTTTTAGGACTCAATTACACTTTCGTAACAAGTTTTATGACTTCTAATGAACATATCCCAATAAATAACTATAAGACAAAAAATTAGAAAAAAGGAAAAGAAAATAGTGGCAGCAGTGAATGGCAAGACTCTACAACGATTTGCTGACAACTTCGTACCTCCTAAAATCTCAATCTATCTGCTCTCTCAAAGTCGTATGACCGGTTCAAAGTCGGACAACGCTTTTTCTTGCCGATAAGGTTGCTACAACTAGTCAATTTGATAATTCTCTTAATGCTTGTCCAAATAACCAATAAAAACAAAAAGTAGTTCCTTAAATGTGGAGTCAAGTCAACTTCCCCAATGAATTTAAGGGTCACCCACGACTTACCGACCTTGAATTATAAAAAAAATTAATGTTAGATTTTTTCCCGTTTGATACATAAAGTAACGAGGTCGTATTAGTCTATCTTACTCTATTGAACAATGAAAAATTCAAATATAGTTTTGTAGTGAAAATGGCAAAAAGGCTGTATGGTGCTTGGCCCTTATAGTCTAGGGGGATGTGGGTTTTTCATCTATTATGACTTGCTAGTAAGTAGGTCCATCATTCATGGAACCTATGGGCTCCCAATCACATAGATACTAACCTAATGATATTGCTAGTTATGGTAATCAAAACTCTCAAAACTTTCTATTACTCACGACTATCCAAAAAGTCCTAAACTTATTGTACGACTGCCAATTCAGTCCTAAACATTTCAATTATGCCAATTTAGTCCTACATCTTTTGACAACTTTCCAATGTAGTTTTAAACCTTTTGAAGATTTGCCGGTTTAGTTATTTTGGCCAATTTTGGTTGGATATTGCTGATGCGAACAATTTTACCCTTTTTTTTTCCCTTTTTTTCTCTTTTTCCTTTCATTTCTTTTCCGTTTTCTTTCCCTTCGGCCATGGCCGGCGACTGGCCACAGGACAAAGGCGAGGGATTGACCCTAGCAGCCTGGGCCCTCGCCGAATTTGCCGAGGGCTCGACCCTCCCTCGCCAATAGCCAGTTATAGGCCATGGCAGAGTACCTGCCATAGGCCAAGGGAAAGAAAAGGAAAAAGAAAAAAAGGAAATATTTTAAAAAATGCAAGAATTGTTCATGACAGCGTTGGCCATGTCGGCGATTTCCGGCCAAAATTGACCGGAAGGACCAAATTGGCAAGTCGTCAAAAGGTTTAGGACTAAACTGACATAAATGAAAGATTTATGATTAAATTGACAAGTTGTCAAAAGATTTTGGACTAAACTGGCAGAAATGAAAGGTTTAGGATTGAATTGAACGCTGTACAATAATTTTAAGACTTTTTGGACAATTTTCCAACCAGCACCTTTAGCTTCCGTAATCCACCTCGCTACCGTAGCTTCGGTGCTCGCGATGGCCACAACCAGCACCTTTAGCTTTGTCGTTGACCAATATTATCATCAACCATGACGATCTAGATTTTCTTGTCGTCGTCGATTATGAGAATTTCCAGAGAGAGGAGAGTGTGATGGTGCATGGCGGACGTAGCAATGGCAGTATCGAGGTGGTAATGGTGGCGAGACGACGGTGACTCGACAACGACAGTGGAGACAAGAAGTTCCCGGTTTGAACGCCCGACTTCGAAAAGGTATTCGGTATAGAGAAAGTTATTCTTATAGTGATCTTTTGAATGAAAATCTTTGTAGATGTTGTACGAACGACATCTTCCTTTACCGGGATCGCTCTACTTATTGCATGAATCATATGCTTGAAAATCTACTATCATTGGATTACAAAAAGAGAAGTATCTGGCAAGCAAGCAATACGATGGGAACTTGTATAAAGCTTCCCCATTGTAAAGCTTCTTCCAATATTCACTTTTCTTGGATCAGCCACAACTCCATAGCCAGCACCAAAATATAAAAAGATTTGTACATAAATAAGGCTTGGTGATGTACATGATGTTTTCAAAACAACGTCTTAAATTCAATAAACAAAATCCGTTAAAGTATCCCACGTCATCTATTTACGGATTAATATGCTTTTTATATACATTTGGTCTATTCCCATCTATTAGCTTAGACTTACGAGTTGCACTTTCTAACATACTACGACCGGGTTCTTCGCTAGTTTATTTTGCACGTGCGAGTCCATGTTCGTCAAGCTCCATATGTCGCCGCATAATCCAACTTGCCCGTGAACGGGACCATTAAAGTATCTTACGTAGCATCTTATAATTTTGTTTATAGCGCGTCAAAGATTGAAAAGCAACATCATTACCGACTTGAGAAGGATTATGTTTAGATTAATTTGCAAACAGCAGCAAGATCGAAAAGCAAGATAAACGACCCACGTATCAAGGTAGTAATCACATGCCAAGGCAGGTAAACACCTTGCAAACGACGTTTGCGTAGCAACCTGGCGTACAAGAATTAATGTTGAATACTTTACTTAATCGACACCTTGGTGCTTGTGAACAGCTTAGTTTTTACACATTCTTCGCTACACCAAAATTGAAGTAATTATTGTCATATTGCCTTCATCTTCTTAGAAACTTCAAACTCACTATAAACCCGTATTTAATCCTAGCTGGCAATGTCGGTCAAAGTCAAAGATAAATGTTGCAAAACCCCTATATAAATAGAGAGCCTCATTAGCTTCCCATGCATCGCGGTATTTGTGTATTTTAGCACATATAAAGAAAGCAAATCAAAGCTTCTCGACCACCACCAAAAGAAGAAAGCGATAGGGAAAAAGAATGACGAGAGGATCGAGGTGGTGGTTGTTGATGCTACCGGTGCCCGGGTTGGTGAGCTCGTGCGCGGTGTGGCGCGTCGAGGCGGCAGTGACGATCGAGCAGATGCTGACGCTCAAGTGGCATTACTACCGGAACTCGTGCCGCAACGCCAAGACATACGTGACGCACCAGGTCGAGTTCTACTGGAAGCCGGACAAGAGCCTCACTCCCAAGCTCCTCCGACTGCTTTGTCACGGTACGTATCGTCCGTCGTTATCCTTTTCCAAACGATCATGTAACTCCGCATCTCTTCGATATCCAGTTTCAATAGGCTTTCTGATCTTGTAATATCCTTCCATCGAACTGGGCTTTCTAACGCACAATAATAGTAGAAAACAGGGGTGTGATGCGTCAATTCTATTGGACGGGCCAAATTCAGAGAAAGTAGCACCACAAAATTCAGGGCTTGAAGGGTTTGGTACGGCGGTGATAGACAAGATCAAGGAAGTCCTGGAACAACGTTGTCCTTCAGTTGTCTCTTGTGCTGACATTCTCAACCTGGCCTGCAGAGATGCTGCTCACTTGGTATGCACCTGGTCTGCAGTTTCCTCTTTTGGCTTAAAAAGAAATTATTTTCACTGCCATACTGATTTATTGAAATGTTGTTAGCTTGAGTTTGTAGTATTAGATGTGAAAAACCATAATCGCTGATACGATGATGATGTCCTTAACAGGCGGGAGCACCATCGTATGCCGTTCTTACGGGGAGGAGGGATGGGATGTCGTCCAAGGCATCGGTGGACCTCCCGTCGCCGTCCATCTCGTGGGAAGCGACGCTCGCTTACTTCGAATCGAAGGGCTTGGATGTGCTGGACCTTGCCACTCTACTTGGTAGTTACCTTAGGATCATGAGCAATTCGAACAACTTGTTTACTTCGAGGAAAAAAGAAGATCACGATGTTTCCTTTCGCTTTTTAAAACTCTGAAATCATTGTCTAGTTATCATGATACAAAGAATTATCGGATATAGAATTGGCATGCTCACGTATTATGTCAATCTCAGTCAAAACCAATTCCTAACTTGCCCAAAAAATATAAAATTTTACGGGCGCTTATTCAATGGGCAAGACTCACTGCAGCTACATCACAGACAGGCTCTACAATTTCAACAACACTGGCAAGCCAGACCCAAATATGGACTCATCCTTCTTGGCCCAAATGAGGAAGCAATGCCCACCAAACTCAGAGAGCCAAGGTGACCCTCAGGTGTTCCTTGACCCTGCCTCAGGCTCGAGCTACACATTCAGCAACTCCTTGTACACCAGGCTCCTGAACCACCAGGCCGTTCTTGGCGTCGACCAGCAGCTCGCCCTCGGCAACGACACTTCCCAGATCGCTCAGGAGTTTGATGCCGGGTTCGAGGACTTCCGGAAGGTGTTTGCCCTGTCAATGAACCGGATGGGGAACATCGTGGCCTTGACAGGGGATCAGGGGGAGATCCGCAAGAGTTGCAGAGCCGTGAACGGGAAATAATCCGGACCAATATCGAATGATCTCGCAATCTGGAAGCATGATTTGTTCTCGAGTCAATCTTCATGTATTCGGTTATGATATCTTGGGTGGCATTACTGAGATGAAAATAAGGAATGAAAGAATTTGAAACTTGAAAGTCTTCTTAGGCTCCGTTCGTTTGGCGGAAAATATTCTCCCGGAAAATATTTTCCGGGTTTTCCGGTGTTCGGGGGGGCGGAAAACGTTTTCCGTGGGAAAATATTTTCCTTCCCCCTTCACAAAATAGCCTAAGTCTATGGAAAATGACTTTCTGCTTTCTTCAAAAGCGAAATCATTTTCCGGAGCTTCTTCTTCTTCTTCTTCACTAAGGTTGCCAGCCGCCGCCGGTCGCCGCCGCGCCGGCCGCCGCCGCGCGGTCGCCGCCGGCGCCGCGCCGCGCCGCCGCCGGCCGCGTTGCCGCCGCCGGGCGGATCATCGGGCGCCGGCGTCGCGCCGCCGCCGCCGAAAAATATTTTCCGAAACTTTTTCATATTGATCATTGAACACCGGAAAATTATGTTCCGAGAAAACATTTTCCTGGAAAATGACTTCCGGGAAAATATTTTCCAAAAGGAGAATATTTTCCGCCAAACGAACGGAGTCTTACTATATAAATTAGTAGCCCAATTGTCTTTAACAAATGAACAATCAAAGAAGCTATATTTTGATTTCCCAAACGAAACAATTTCGCGAAGAGCTTTGCATACGATTCATGCCATCACGCTGGCTCTTTATTTGGGGCGTAGCAAAGCCATGAAACAATGATTTATGACTGCTGACACATTTAATCAGCTGTACACACATTCCCGGATCGAGAAAATCTACTTTCTCACTACTTAATTGTTGTGCAATGAGGGAAAAATGCTTCAGGCAAGCAATTACAATGAATGGCTAAAGATTTAGCGAAAAATAAGATGAATGGCCAGAGAATATCACTCGCTACCATCTTTCGAGCACCAATCCTCAATCCAATTCCTGTCCAAGACTTGCAAATTTTGCCCATACATGCTCCAATTTCCGAGTGAAAGCCTGTTCTCTGCCGAGGATCACCCTCGTGTGGTCAGCATTCGGAATTATGTCCACCTCCGCATGCGGAATCTTCATCTTGATGTTGTTACTGCATTCCAATGGGACAACCTCATCACGATCACCGTGAATAATCACGATTCTTGCCCTAGATTTCCTTAGACCTTCCAAGTAGTCATCCACGAATTTCGCTCCCCCACATATCACGTTATGCATGGTATGCCAGGCTGAGTGATGGGTGTGCCTCGTCAAGTCTATAGCTGCAAAATGCAGTTCACTGGGACAGAGAATGCACGAAAGCTGCGAGTGAGAAACTACAATCAAGAAACTGCTTTGTTCTTCCTATTTTTTGTTGCGTAAGAAGGTACGCTTATAATATGTGTACCTCCTCCAGGTAAGAAGCTTCAGGATTCTCTCCCACGTCCTGTGGTTGCGGCAAAGAAGGAAGCAGACACATCGACCCAAGTGCTCATACCATGACATGACCGCTGAGCCAAACAACAAAGGAGGCCACAATCTCTTCTCAGCAAGCTTTTCGAGGGCTGTTAAGCTCGCATTGCTTTTCCAGGAGGGGAAATATGGCTGAAGGGAGAAAATGAGAGAGAATTGTGAGAGAACAACAGCCATATAACTTCTTCCACACGCACATCAATGACATGGAATTGTCTAGATGCACCTTTTTCCCGTGACATAAATGGTATAATGACACAAATAGTCTCTGAACTTTGGTCCAATGTGCAATTTGGCCCATGAACTTTTAATTTGTTCAATGTAGTCCCTGAACTTTAGCCTAATGTTCAATTTGGTTCCTGAACTTTTAATCTATTCAATGTAATCCCTGGACTTTTAATACATGTTCAATTTAGTCCCTAAACTATATGAAAATGTTCAATGTAGTCCCTGAACTTGAATTAATGGAAGGACTACATCGAACATTTTCAAATAGTTCATGGACTAAATTGAACATATACTAAAAGTTCAGGGATTACATTGAACAAATTAAAAGTTCAGGGATCAAATTGAACATTAGGCTAAAGTTTAGAGATCAAATTGCACGTTGGGTCAAAGTTCATGGACTATTTGTGTCATTTTCCCGACATAAAGTACGTTCTTAATGCACTCACCGGTGCAATTAGGGTGATTGATTTCACCGACTTTGTATATTTTGCAGCTAAGGCCAGCGTGATTACGCATCCCATGGAGTGTGCAACTAAATGGAAAGAATTTAGCTCATAAGGAATAATCACGGATTTCTCAATCATGCCCAGGTGATCCTTCAATGTATACGCGCAGTCCCTCGGCTTTGGGCTTCTCCCAAACCCCAAAAGGTCCACGGCAAAGAATCTGTAGTTAGTCCTTGCCGATCCGGAAAGGTTAGCGAACACTGTTTCTGTCCAAAACGATGAAGACGAGAGGAACCCGTGCAAAAATATCACATTTTCAGGGGCCTTCTTCACCCGAGCGCTTGCTGCAGCACAATAACATAGCTACATTAACTTTGATTAGTACAGCCAGAGAAGCAGCAACTGATTCCACTAATTGAATTGCAAAGACAATAGGAGATCAATACAGCAAGACGCTAGGATACACTATACCTACTGCAACTTCAATTGTCTTCCAAGGTAAAATCTAGTGATCCACGTGATGATGAAATGCAGATTTACACACAGCCCTACGGTATGTGACCTGGAGACACAGACCAAACAGCAAAGTTCCTCGGGGGAGCGGCCAGTTAGTCTATATAGTTAACCAATTGAAACGATCGCCCTCTCCCACAAAAAAAGTACAAATCTTACCAGTTACGCTGTCGTACCTCTAGCTTGCTTAATTGATTAAGGTGGCTTTAAGAACCTGAGCAGAGCACACTATTACATTCTAAGTTTCTAACTGTTCTCCAGAAGAGAACATCAGGTCAAATAAAACCTCCCAAAAACAAGCGAGGTACCACCAAAGAACGCTCCACTCAATCAACCTAATCTTCAGTCAATTGCAAGTACAATTACTTTTACCATCATGATCTCGCATTTTCCGTTTCTCTCTAACCGATAGAATAGTCCCTAAAAGGCATAGCATAGCAAGAAAATAACGACCGACGCACGAGAACAGGGCAATTGGTATGCATTGATGGGGGCCGAAGTTCCAAATACCATGTCATCTAAAAGAGCAACATCCAGAAGAAGAGCGCAAGAAAAAAAGTGCAAGAGCTCGAACGAAATTACCTTCCAGAGGCTCCTGAACAACGACATGAAGCTTCAGGGCACTATCGCCCGCCCAAGAAACGCACGAGTCGCAGCCACAATCAGACCACCTACGACGATGATTCATCACCACCGCCTTTCCTGCCAAACCCGCAGGCTCCCACCTTTCGACCAATCGGAGCATACCCATCTCCCTGAAAACGTTCCTCCTGCCGTACAGAGTCTCGGAGACCTCGCTCTCCCCGTCCCCTCCGCTTGCACCGCCTCTCGCCCCTCCTCTGTTCTCGCCGCAGTAACAAGGAGAGGGCTTCCCTTCGAGGAACGCATCGAGGAAGCGATACAGCACGCACAGGGAGGCGTCGAGGAAGTCGAGGAAGAGGAAGACGAGGGAAGTGAGGAGCGAAATCACGAAATGGCGGGTGCCGGCGCGACTGCGATGGGTTCGTCCGTCCATGTCTGTTGAGGTAGACATGTCTGTTGAGAGAGAGAGAGAGAGAGAGAGATGACAGAGACGGAGATGAGAACAAGGAAGGGAATGGCAAGCAACGAGGAGGGAACGGAGATGAGGCAGACATGGGTTTGGTTGAGCCACGTGCGTAAGGGTGGAATGCTGGAGGGGTTTGGTGTGGCCGTTGAGGCTTCAGAGGAAATCTTGAGGAAAGTGGGAAACCATTCCGAGGAATCCCAAGATTACCAGACAACACTTGAACAAATCGCACGTGCATGTCGTCCAACCGGCCATGCCTGACCGAATCGAACCTTTTTTCTTTTTTTTGGCTAAAAGACCGAATCGAACCTTTTAAATAATGCGCAAGTTGTTCTTTGGGAACATTCTCAAAAATAAACTAAACCTATCTCTTCCTCTCGCTCTGAATTTTAGAGTGTTCGAATTTCGCCATCCGCAATGACTTAACTAAGTGCACGTGTGACATGTTAAATAATACTTGTCGCCCTGGGTTTAAATAATATTCTCTATTGTCGGTGTCGGGGTTCCCGGTCATAAAAAAAAAAAAGAACCTTTTAAATAATGCTCAAGTTGTTCTTTGGGAACATTCTCAAGAAAATAAACTAAAACCTATTACAATTGTATCAATTCCAGTCTTGAATTTTCTACATTTGTACCAATTCAGTTCATCCGGCCAATCAGCGCGGCCAACGCTGACGTAGACAATTTTGAATAATATTTTTCGAATTAATTTTTTTTTCTTTTTCTTTTCTCTCAGCCCCTGACGAGGCTCACGCTTGCCGGATTTGGCAAGGGCTCGCCTTGCCAATGGCTGGGCAAGCTCGTCGGCCAAAGGAAGAAGGAAGAAGGAAGAAAAAAAAAAGGAAATAAATAAATAAATAAATAATTTGAAAAAATATTAAAATTAAATTAAAAATTATTCACGTCAGTGCCGGCCGGCCAAAATTGGCTGGATGGATTGAATTGGCACAGATGCAAAAGGTTTAGGACTCAATTGGCCCAAACAAAATGTTTATAACAGAATTGGCATAATTGCAATAGGTTTAGAATTTTTTTGGTAATTTTCACTTTTTCTTTTAGGCTTGTCAAACCCCGCTCGGGTGCCATTGGACTCTATGGAGGATTTGCAGTTGAATTAAAGAGGGATCTTACGCCTCTAGCATCAGTCTCGACTTCGATTTCCATTCAAAGCAACGAAACATAACCGTGCGACAAACGGGTGATTCATTGTGATTGTCGTAAAATTAGTCTAGAATATCGTACGACCTGTGGAAAATGATCTTTCGATTCTTGAATTTGTTTAAGAGGAAAGCGGGTTTGTTTGGATGACATTGGTAATGCTAGGATCTTCCATTCTTCCCCCCCCCCCCCCCCTTTTTTTTTTTGTAATGCTTTTATACTTTCTGCAAGTTCATCGTTTTGGCCATGAAAGCATGTGTCACCTTCGTTTTACTACGCAAATTCAATATTTGGTGATGTTTTCAGATGTTAAATTTCTCGTGAAATGACAATTGTGGTTCAAAATCATTGAAAAACGGAAAACCTTGCTTATAATTTGTAAGCTAATATTGCAATAACGGGCCCAAGCCCATGCTTCAATAGCCACAGCTCAGCCCACTTGCAATTTTCTTCACCAGATTTGCGTATGGAGCTATTGAAATGAAGTGTCGCGCACACAAGTTTAGGATGTCCTGACAAGCCGAACCGACTCCATTTCGCAACGTCCGGTAAGTACTGAAGTCCATTATTCGTTTAATTGGAGTAATTTTTGAAGTTAGATCATATATATGAAATTATGTTAGTTTTGAACTGTGAGGTTCGATTGGGGAGTTGTTAAGCAGTTATTTATATGGAAATGATAGTGCAGGGTGTTGTGAAGTCGTGGGGTTTATCGGAGATCGATTTCGAAGTATGATTTGATCGGAACGAATTTCTAAAGTCTTGCATGCGAGTTAAGCGTAACGGACAAAAGATCGAGATAATTGCAAGCTGGTCCTCTTTCTTCACCGGATCAGAGATCAGAACAGGGAGATTCCATGTCAACTACAAACTGAACTCGATACTCAAGCTGTTCAGGCTATGACAGAGAAGAAAGCCAGCCTCTTCCTCTTGCTGACGACGAACCTGTTCACTCCCTGTCAGTTGTCTACTGTCGGGTGTTGCAGATGGCAGATTTCGGGCATCGTATAATTCTGCATTTCCTCCTCTGCTCTCGGGATAATTGGCTGACCGGAAGGCTGAAAACAGCTGCAGATTTAACAAAGGTGTTGCTTCCAGAATCAGCAGAGCCTTTCTCTTTATCAGTTTTACGAAGAACCGGGTTTCTTGGCAAATACGTAAGCAGGAAGATGTACAACAAATGGGCTGTTTATGTAACACACTTGCCTCAGGTAAATCCAGTCGTATCTTTCCGGTCGATCTTCAGCCCGCAACACCTCGGAGTTTTTCCATACCCACCAGCAAAGATTCGATCAGTAGAACGAGCAGTACAACACAGGCTTGCCATCTCGCACGGCAGACCCCGCAATGATGCAAAGAACTATCGATTACATCAGTCGCTATCCTCCGTCGTTGGGAGACTGCCAACATAACTCAGTATATACCTCGTCAAACAGACTGTCTGCAATGAAAACAAGCTAAAGGGTTGCTGAAAATCACAATCTTCTCTTGTATGCAAGAGATAAATTCATACTAACTTTAAACTACAGTCCAACATCCACAACTTAATGCAAAAGATGCATCCAAGTCTGTGAGAACTACATGCATTGCCGAACTGAACTACTGATGAGAAGAAGGAAGGTTCCAATGGGAATGGTACCTAAATTAAAAGGAGACCGGAGCTGCTGTTAGAATCTTTTGGTTCAGCAGGGAAGGAATTATAATGGGGCATGAGACATTTAAGCCTAACTACACATTTTAACGTACTATTAGTTGTGAAAAAGCTACACAAAAAATTAAACTATCGAAGTACACAGCAACTAATTACTATAAAAATACAAAATTTCACCAGCATAATAAAAAGAATATCATGCTATTTCTGACACGCATATAAACATTATAAGTTTTTATGTACGAACTAGAATGGAGATTACTTCAAATTATGGTTTTATGCTAAAACAAAAAAAAATATTTCTTAAGTACAAATGAGTTACAATTAAGTAATATAATCATGAAGAGAGAAGAGAGTAATGAGAGGTAATGAATAAGTGTATACATGTTTGGTCACTTTTGTTGGGAAACTATGAAAACATCTCCTCACGATGAACAGAGTCCAAATTTCATAAATCTACAATCCTAGGTGACCTACTTAGAGACTACACTTAAAAAAGACTTTGTTATAATATGTTTCGCTAGTTATATATCGATAAGAAATTAGCCAAAAATGAAGACTTTTTGGCAAGAAAAGATACGTTAAAAGGCTTTTTCCGTGGAATGTTTTCTGCGAGGCTGTTTGCCGTTGGATCGAGTACTCATTATCTTTATGGACTTATATAGGACACGAGGGGTCTAAAGTAAGGATTAATGGAGATCCGAGACGAGTATGCTATTATACAACGTCGGCCCTGACTCGGTCATTCAAAGTATATATGTAAAGACGAATTCGAAATACTACAAAAAAAAAAAGGCCACCTCAACCATGTTGACCATCTTATAGTGACTAGTTATATTGCATCAGCATCATATGGTGAGCCGTATCTTATGCAACTCCCATCAAATTAAAAGTATAATCAAATGATGAAGTAGGTCGAGTTTGCAAGCTGATTAAGAAATGGTAATTAATAATTGGTGTATAAAGATTAAAATATTTTACAGCTGTCTAATCATGGAAGGTGATGGGCTTATGGAAAATGACAACCCACTCATTTCGGCAAAAAAACTTGGGTTAATACCACGAAAAACCCTAAATTGGTACATCAGTGATAATTTTACCCCAAACTAATTTTTTTGTCATGAAAAACCCCGAACTGAAACACTCGTGACAAATTTGCCCCAAACTAATTTTTTGACCATAAAAAACCCCGAACTGGTACATTTGTGACAAATTTACCTTCCGTTAGTTTCCATTAAATTGAATTAATACCACAAAAAATCATAAACTGATATGTCTGTGACAAACGGAGGGTAAAACACAAAATTGGTACGTCCGTCAATTGTCGCGTGTCATTTAACAAAGCAATTTGATAATAAAATATAACGAAAATAAACTGAGGGTAAATTTATCATATGTGTACCGGTTTAGGATTTTTGGTGGTCAAAAAATTAGTTTAAAGTAAAATTGTCACAGGCATATTAGTTTGAGATTTTTCGCGGTATTAACCCAAAAAACTGTAATTAGTGTCAACTATGAAACTATCCTCTTCGTCACGTCGACTTCATCTTGTTTAAACTTTAAAGTGCTCACGTATGAGGTTGAACTCCGTACGTCTCCCCTAATTAAAACAAACGATAATAATAATTAATATTAATATTAGTAATAATAATAATAGCACAGATTCCATTCATATTTGTCCTCATCGTGTTAAAACATAATAGTTACAAAAAAGTCAACTATCAATTTTCCTCTTACTCAAAAACGTCATGTTCTCCAATGTCAAAATCACACCGTGCAACATGAGTTTCGCAAAAGATATTCGTTAGGCCAGTTGCCGAGATTCAAATGCGCATTAAAAATGTAGGGTTCTTCGACTATCCTGTGCGAGAAAAAAGGGGACTAGATCCTGCCTAATTGGTCGTAATTTTCGTTTTTGCATTCGTAGTTTTCCTCACTCTTAATATTTTACCTATTACATGTTATTTCGTAACTTTTCTTTATATGGAGTAATTTTCCTTTTATTGGCGCCAATTCTGTAAGTCTATGATCCGTAATTTATCCTCAAAGAAATAGTAGTATGTCTAAATTAATAGCAAACTTCTTTTCCCCTTGTTAGTTTATTGCCTAATGGATTGTACCTTTTTTTTGACGTACGTAATTGTCCTCGCTAATCTCTTTGCAGATAACATTTCGTAATTTATTTTTAGAGGGCACAAAAATTTATCTATTACATGTTACAATAATTTACTTCACAAAAATAGTAATCTTCCTAAGTTAATGACAAATTTATCTTGTGCCATTGTTAGTAAAATGTCCAATAGATCGTAGCTTTCATACATTCTATAAAGTTTGCAACCTATGTGTCAGTAATCTGCTTTATTCATTGTAACTTTCCTTAATCAAATGTAAGTTTGACCGTCTTTGCGTCGATAACTTTCCTTTGACGCCAGTAAATTATGACAAAAAATCGGGTTTTTCTGGCAGATCCGACGGACCACATTTTTTCTCTTTTTTTATAACGATTCATGTTAGGAAAACAATTACATCACAGGAGAAATTCCCTTAGAATCTAACCTCGATCCTTTTGTTGTCATTCGTCCTAAAGATTCCAAGATTCGGTCAACATCTTCTGGCCCAATTATCGGCTCACACGTGTCCTCGTCCCCGCCACAAATACGACTTGACATAACTTTTTGTTGTGCCATGAGGAACCTAAACGCTTCTGCCCTTGTACTTCCCCAATTGTACCTTGTACTGCATTGTTGTGTTGTGAAAAAGTTTTCTTATGGAATAAATGACCCAATAGATATAGCAATTTGGGGAGATTAATGTTACTCAAATCTAATTCTGATTTCAATGATCAAATAAACCAAAATTTCGTTTCTTCGTACATACTGAAATTGGGATTATGACGGATTTTCTTGAAAACTACCGATTACAATGGATACGTCACCTGGATTTGGCTGAATTTAATGTTAGAAAGACTTGATTGGATAATTTGTGTGTAAGTAAGATGACTATCAGAAAAATTAGAAGTATAGGGCACATGATTAGAAAAATAGTGAAAATACGAGGACGGATATGATATATTTCCATGAGTTTCTTAACAATAAACATGGGCTAGATGGCTTTCTATCTGTATGCTTCTATAATGGTATTCATTGGTCCATACCGTGGCAAGCAAAGTAGGGTTAAAGGGGGACGGCGAGAATATGTTCTTTTGATGGTTCAAATAGCGTTGACGTGCAATGCATAAAGTATTATGAGAAACCGTTTCGCAATTTGTATCTAGCTTTAGAGTTATGGACTTGTTCATTAGAAGCACCTGGACCGGCTTTCAAATCCATAAAGTCCTATTATTCTATCGAGCACATTAACATGCTCAATGTTAGGAGATGAACGGATATAATCTGATGTGATTTCACGCGACTTAATATGATTCTTTGACTATGATCGAATATTGATACGAGATCAATTCCTTACTAAAAAGCCAATTGATTGACAACAACTTTTTGGAGTAACTAATATACCTTTTTGTAGATTGCGATCTATGCAAACACTCATTGAATTTAAACGTAGATGTAAATGTTTGTAAACAGGAGTGTTGGTTCAGAGCATATGAGTAAGTGAATCTTACTTTATTTTCGACCTAAAAAAAATTCTTACTTTATTCACGGCACACGAGTCAATGAATCTACTTTTAAAGTGGTGATTATGCCTCCATAAATAAGGTTTATGTGCACTCAATGTAAGACTTGACTAGATGTTATCTTACACTTTAAGCACTAACACCCTCGTCAATATCGCGTGGCATCAGAGATGCCAAATTCATTGACAATTCTCATAGTTTTTGTAGCCACGTTTCAAAAACCATCCCAAAATATTAACTTCTTAAATTGAAGAGTTCATTAAAGCAGTTCCCAGTCCTTGCCAAATCAATGACCAGTGACGACACGATGCAAGTAACCCCGTAGGGCTGGTCTATATGTTAGAAGTTAAAGAGACTTGAAAGGTATCCCGTTGACCGTGGATGCACCAACTTTGCCCTTTTCTCTTGGGGACAAATGACTTGCAGTTCCTGCTTTTTGTTATCCCCGGAACGTCGAATGAGCCTGAATTGATGTTGTAGAGCTGTCTGCGTGAAGTGGACAACCTGGGGATATACGACGATGCCAAATGGTTGCTCCGTGACAAGAGATAAAATGCGAGCTTTCGCTGGTTCTTCGCCTCGTCGAACTTAGACGAGATTATGTTACGTGGCGTCATGCTTGAAGAGCTTCCCTCGACCCTGGACATCTTTGCATCGTGTTCGCCAAATCTATGGCTGCGAGCGACGGTGGTCGCTAGATCTGAACTTCTGGATTTGATTCGCCATGCTTTAGAATTGGAGGCGCGGCTTTGAAGGAGGACAGATCTGACCACAAAGATGACGAAGAGGGTGGCTTGGCTTGGATGCCCGACAATGGTCGCCCTCGATGCTGCGATGCACCTTCGCCGATGGCGACAGCGAGGGAGCCGGTTGGGCTCAAGGTGGCTGCAGATTGAGGGGAAAGAGAGTGGTGGATGAGGATTTTTGTTAGGATTAAGAGTACAAACACAACGAAATAGATAGTGAATGGGAAAGACCAAAATCTCTAATTCACCTTTAAATGGCTTATTCAAGATTCCTATATTAGGTCTTAATCTCGTAATATTTAATAGAAAAAGAGAGAGCAGGTGGCAAAATTCATCCTGATTAACCTTTAAACTATGTTTCGTCTAGGGAAGGAACTGGAGACGGGCCGACCGGTCTGCGAGCCGATTATATATATTTTTAATTTTTTTTTTCAAAAATTAGTAAAATGTGAACTAAACCCTAAGTGAACTTCATCGACATAAATTCATTGACAAAAATTAATAAAATGTGAACTAAACCTTAATGAACTTCATTGACATAAATTAGTAAAATGTGAACTAAATCTTAAGTGTTTGACAAAAAAAAACTAAACTCTCCGTTACAATATTTAATTACAAGAAAAAAAGAGATTATATACCGGTAAATTATAAATGCACTTTGGAAGATAGGGAGGACGAACCATAGCCAATTTTTTTTAATAAATTTATATTGACTATTCCGAAAGGGAGAACCCAGCTGTCTTCACGAAAAAAGAAAAACAAACATATTACATCGTCTGTGTCAGACCCGAAACGAAACAGCTTACCTACTTTCAATTTCGATACCCCCCCGGTTTCATCACGCATATGGTGAGCCTTTTTCCCCTGTTCTGAAAACGGCCCTGCTTCCTCAGCGTCAGAGCAGAGAAGAGAGAAAAGAGAGAGAGAGAGACATGAGACAGAGAAAGAGAGAAAGAGACAGAGCCCATTGTGGACTGCTCCCCAGACAACCTTTTTCTATTTTTGGGCATTCAATTCCCTCCTCCTACTTCCCACTCTCTCTCTCTCTCTCTCTCTCCTCCCCTCGAGCAAGTTACGCGACCCCCTCCCTAGGGTTTTCCTAATTTAGCAATCCCCCGACCCCTCTCTCTCTCTCTCTAGATTTCGCGCTTGCTCTGTGGCAAGAAAACGGCTTAAAAAGATCCCCCCTTTATTGGGGTGCAGTGCATAGTACAAGACTACAAGTAGCAGAGTCTGGAGGGGTTCGCCCCGAGACACGAGCGGCGTAAAGTTATCCGGAGATACTTAGGTGGGTGTTTTGGATTGTACCCAGAATTTGCTGCTACGAAAAGGGGTTGCGGCTTTCGCCTTTTCTTGATCGGTACCTGGGTCAAGATTTCAGATTTCTGTTCGCCCGACGTCAAATTAGCACGGTAGTGTTTTGACCGTGTCTCTGGGATTTTCATGCGCGAAATTTGTCGATTGGGGCTGTGATAGTTGATTGGACCGAACGTTTTGTGCTCTGATTTGTGATTTTTTTTGGGGGGATGGAAGGGGTGTGTTTTGTGTTCTTGCATAAGAGGATGGCTTTTTGAGGTGGGTTTTTGTTGATTGTGGAATACTTTGCTGATTTAAGCTGTGCCCACTTTGGTGTTGCAGTGAACTGCGCCGGCTTTCGGGTCTGAATGAGTTTTGTTTTATCTCAAAGAGGTCAGTACTAGTGTTCATCGTCTTCTGTTTATGGAAATGGTGGCAAAATGTCCGCCGTATCTCTGATTGGTGGAGTGATAGGCAGCTGACTTTTGTTCTTATTAGAGATTTGATGACGTTATGATTGAAGCGAAATAAAACTGTTGTGTTTGTGGTGCAGGGTGTTTGCTATTTGATTTTGGAAGAGCTGGTCTTACTGTCCAATCCTGACGGTGAACGATTTCGATAGTTGGTTTTGAAACTTGCTGCAATTGTCGTGTGATCTCAGTTGCAGGGTAGCCAATTGTAGGAAGATGTCGTGAACAGCATGACTTACTCGAGTGAGCACGATCTGATAGGACTCTAGCATTTTCTTGTACTAGTTGGCGGGGAAGGTTTTTTTTCTTTTTCACTTCAAATGGAATACCCCTTTTCTTCCAAAGAGAAGGGTATGGGTTACTGGACTCCTCCAGGAGTGCAGGCGGACAGCTCTGCTTCTTTGGATAATGGCACAAGAAATTCGATCTTGGAGGATCCTTTTGGGAACTTTGCCGAGCTGATGAATTTCGATGGTTATGCTGGATTATGCAACAGTCCATCTACAACAGAGCAGATACTTGCATCCTATGGGTTACCGATAAGTCCATCAGCACCGTATGGATCATTGGATACGATGAATTTTACAGAACAAAGTTCTTTTTACTATCCCGACCGTGGCGGGGTGTCAAATGCTGTGGGAAGTTCTTATGCGTGTGTGGAAAGGTTGGCTTTTCAGCAAGCAGATAGCCAACTTGATTATCAGTTGGATTCCAATGACCAAAATGATTCAGGGCCTAAACAAGGTGAAGGTGCCCTTGGGCGACTTGGTATTTCTGATGTGGCTAATAATGCAATAGCCAGGCCTCTTACTCGTTCATTAGATGAGAAGATGCTGAGGGCGCTCTCCTTGTTCAAGGAGTATTCTGGAGGGGGAATTCTGGCTCAGGTCTGGGTCCCCATAAAGCTTGGGGATCAGTATGTCTTAAGCACCTGTGAGCAACCTTATTTACTTGACAAAATGCTAGAAGGATATCGAGAAGTATCCAGAACATTTACCTTCTCCGCCGAGGAAAAACTGGGAACTTTTCTGGGCCTTCCTGGTCGTGTTTTTACATCGAAAGTTCCAGAATGGACTTCTAACGTAATGTATTACAGTAATAGTGAATATTTACGGGTAAAACATGCAGTTCACCACAATATCCGTGGTTCTATTGCCTTACCAGTTTTTGACTCTTCTGATAAGTCCTGCTGTGCGGTGCTGGAACTTGTCACTATGAAAGAAAAACCCAACTTCGACTCGGAAATGGAGAAAGTGTGCCTTGCCCTCCAGGTTAATTTTCCTTTCATTGTTCCTCTAGAATGAAGATGACTGTTCTCTTCTTTGCCTTTCTTGTAAAAGTTGCGAATCCAGATGAGCGACACGCAATTTAACTACATAGTGCCTTTGCTGGAAACCACCATACTAGAAGTGCATGGCATATGGAGTTTCTTTTGTTACTTTTCCACCTTTTGGTCGGAGAATTCATAGAAGAGCTCCACTTTTTAGAGAATTCATATAAATAATAGCTATTTTCTTTTGTTTGATATATGAAGCAAGACTAAATCTGATCAATGACTTTTATTTCGCATGTTATACATCAAGACGATGCTTTTTGAGAGCAGTTGATCAAGCATAGTGTTTGTATTTGATTTCTGAAGATTGTGGAGTCTGCATACAGGCCTGTTTTATTTACATTCGCAAAGGTGAAGTATATTAGCTGTTTTTCCAGAGACTGAGCATGAAGTTCTGCCTGCATGAGGAGGAGAAGGGCTTAGCAGGAGTAGTGGATTGTACCTTGGTTGTAGCATACTGTCTAGAATTGTCAGCAAAACTGTGACATACTAACATTTCGCAGCGCTCATTTCGAGGCTACATGAATGGACTTCTCTTGAAGTCTCCTTTTGTTTCTTTGCACTAATCATATCATGGATTGAGACTTTCTTGGGGGCGCTTTTTACTTCGGGCTTTCTTGTTTGCTTCTTTGGCTGTAATTTCTGAACCTATGTGGGACATCAACCTTTTGGAAAGTTATTGCTTTGGCTTTATAGTGAAAAATAGTGAAAAGAAGTGTTTTATAAGAAACTTGTATGCGGGGGAATTTCGATGTCGTCTAGTTGATGCACGGCAAAGAAACACGTTCTTTGACATTCGCTTCAAGTATAAATGCTTATAACATTACAGAAAGGAAAAAAAAAGAGTGAATCAAATGACTTGAACTTATATATTATGGAATTATTTAGGGGTACCCATCAAATGCTAAGGTTAGGCATCGAATTTTTCTTTTTTACATCAGGATTTTCTTATGCTGTGGCTGGATGTTTTCATTAGTGCTTCAATGAGTTTAGGTGAATTTACTGCAGCTTTATTTTGTTCACTTTCTATAGAATTTTTTGAATTATCAACTTCAAATTTCCTTTTTCAGTCGTTTGTGAGTGTGGAAATTGACGGTTAGCAACTATTGCAGGCTGTAAATTTGAGAACCACACCACCGCCACGGCTTCTTCCACAGGTAAAACATAGAAAAAGAATTAAACGTAGCTTTTCTTTTCCGTGAGGCTGTACAGTGCTCCTGAAAGATCTATCATTATGCAGTGCCTCTCCAGTAATCAGAGAGCTGCCTTGGCTGAAATAACAGATGTCTTGCGCGCTGTATGTCACGCGCATAGGTTTCCATTGGCTTTGACATGGATCCCGTGCTGTTTTTCTGAGGGAGCTGCTGATGAAATACTAAGAGTACGCGTTAGGGATGGTAACAGAAATGCTAATGAGAAATGCATCTTATGCATTGACGATACTGCTTGTTATGTGAATGATAAGCAGATGCAAGGATTTGTTCATGCATGTGCAGAGCACTATCTTGAGGAAGGGCAAGGAATAGCTGGAAAAGCACTTCAATCAAATCATCCCTTTTTCTATCCTGACGTTAAGGCCTATGACATTTATCAGTATCCTCTCGTCCATCACGCGCGCAGGTTTGGCCTGAATGCTGCTGTTGCAATTAGGCTGAGAAGCACCTTTACAGGTGATGATGATTACATTTTGGAGTTTTTTCTACCTGTCAACATAAAAGGAAGTGCAGAGCAACAACTATTGTTGGACAACCTCTCACGTACAATGCAGAGGATTTGTAAAACTTTGAGGACAGTATCAGATGCAGAATTATTCAGTACAGAAGGCTCTAAAGTTGAGTCACAGGAAGTATCACTCCCAAACATTTCATCAATTCCCACTTATAGAGGGAGCCATCAGACAGTTTTATCCGATAACAGCACGTCTTCAATGGATAGGGGGCCCTCAAATGTATCTACGCCAAGAAGAACGGTCTCGGATCTTCCTCGAAAGCAGGTCATTTCCTTTATCCTTCTTTACCTGTAGTGAACATGTTTTACTCGGACTTTTCTCTGTCGCCTTTGTATGTTGTTTTTGGACTTCCTTTACTTGCCAACGCCCTCAATCTGCCTAGGGTACTTTGTTTTAACACATTAGTTGGTGGTTCTGCTTTGATGTCATTTTCTTTCAAAATCCCTGTGATAGAATTAGGGTTAGAAAGTTAAAAAGAAAAAAGGTTTCCTTATGAATTTTTATTTTGGTCGGAATCATTATGACTGTTCATGCTGTAATCTATAATATATTTATCTTCAATAATCAAGTATTGTGTGAGGGAATAACAGCTGGCAGGATTGTCATCATATGTAAGAGACCTATATAGTTTCATGTTTATTGGGCTACTAGACAATCTGAAGTACACCTTCTTACGTCCACGATTGTTGCTGCTGACATTTGAAGTTTCTGATACATATATGTTCAGCAGAAGTACCTGTTGCTAGGGATAACGGTTTACAGAGTCTAAAAGAGTTGATGAGGGGATTTTAGTAATTGGACCACTTCTTTTTCCCTCCAAAATCTGTTACGCTGAGGCTATGTCATTGTAGGCCAAAAAAAGAAAACAACTTGAATGTGCCCTGTTTTTTATTTCCACAGTAGAGATTATATGTGGAATTTGGGTCAAATATGTTTGTTAGAATATGCAAACCAAAAAGCTTAAGCTATTAGGTGAGAAGAATAGCCTCATAGACAAGCAATGTGAGATACTTTAACAATGTTGATATTGGTTAACCCAAAAATCCTAAAAAGTTGAGAACTTGTGGGAACTAACAGATTCCAGATTCCTGATTCCAGAGGTTCCAAGGGGTCACAATATAGGTTTTTAGGTTTAAAAAATAATCTAGTATCTGCAGGATAGGTTCCAGGGTGGCAGAGATATACACTATACGACCTGGAACTCCATTTCAGATTTACATTTTGACATTTATGCATACGGCGTAAATTTGGATCTTCTTGAAAGAGCTGAAGGTAGCGTTCTGTTCTTTGCTCTTCTTTTTTATAATTTACACTAGATTAGATTACAGAATGGCAGCATCATCTAGGTGAATGAGGCTGCCTTTTGAAATGCGACCACAGTCAGGGGCTCAGGGGCACAGATACATTTTCCAGCCTTTCTTTTGACTTTTCTGCAAAATCAATGGCCAAATAATTGTAAAGGATGTAGCAAGCCTTTGATGGTCAGATAAATGTCTGCACGGTAATAGTTGTACTCTTGGTATTTGGGGGAAGCATGACTGAAGTGATGGCATCTATGACATATTATCTCGTTAATTGGAAATCATGACTAAAGCGATGTTTGTTTCATCCATTCTCATCTTGCCCTTCCCTAGCTTCTTCCTTGTGTGCCACACTCCCATTCTCTCTTCTGTCGCTCTCCCTTTCTCTCACAGCCAATAATTATCCTCTTTTAAGTCTTGATGTGGAGTGCAGAATTTTTAATTGGATGATATGGCTAGGCTTGATCTTGTGGTGTTTCATACAGGATATAGTGGTTCACTTACATGACTTCTGACAGTTTTCCGAATGTCTCACAGGTGGCGAGTGTATCACGAAGACAGCATGAAAAAAAGCGGAGTACAGCAGAGAAAACAGTGAGTTTGAGTGTTCTCCAGCAGTATTTCTCGGGGAGTCTGAAGGATGCTGCGAAAAGCATTGGTGGTGAGATTCTGTTAAGAGGCTCTTAATTTGCCGTATATCAATGGTTGATTTGCATTTTTCACGTCAAATCTCCTCTTGTTTGAATCACACTTAATCAGCATAGTGCCTCTCGCTTAGATCTATCAGAGTTTTTAAGTAACCTTGGCCCGTGCATCTGTCTCTCATTGATGTTGCAGTTTAGGGTAAAAAGAGCTATATAATGGAAAGTAAGATGAGGAAAGAACAAAGAACAGGAAATTTGGATAACAGGTATAAATATGAAAAGGGAAAAGAAGAGATCTGGGCTAGTTGAGTCTTTTAACAATTAGGGTGCATTTATTTCAGAAGAAACTTCATGATAAAGGAAAACGTTTTTTGGGAAATCATTTTCCTGGAAAATGTTTTTTCCTTTAGATTAGGGAATTCATTTTCCTAACGTTAAGCATGCACATTTGATCGGCAATGGTTTTCCGTTGATCGATCAATTTCAGCAAACCAAACGCGTAAAATTTCAAAATATTGATTTGCGGAAAATGCTTTCCCTCAGACAAACACACCCTTTGATTGGGAATAAAGAACATATCCATGGTCAAGTTAACATAAATAGCAATTCCAGCCAAAAAAAAAAAAATACAGTAATAAAGCCTTTGTGCATAAAGAAAATGTTCATCTTGTAGAATTATTTGGTAATTGAATAATGAATGCCAACCATTTTATTTTCTGCGATGCAGTTTGCCCCACAACACTGAAAAGGATATGCAGACAACATGGAATTTCAAGATGGCCATCTCGCAAGATAAACAAGGTGAACAGATCGTTGAAAAAAATACAAACCGTGCTCGATTCTGTTCAGGGAGTTGAGGGAGGGTTGAAGTTTGACCCAAACACTGGAGGATTTGTGGCGGCAGGTTCGACGATCCAAGAATTTGATGCGCAGAAGAACTTCATACCTGATAAAAAACCAGAAGTGCAAAATCAAGAAGCATCTATCCAAGAAGAGGAAAAATCAAATCCATTTGTTTGTGGTAATAATTCTGCCATTAAATTGGAAGATGAGTATTGTGTCGGTGGAGACCACTCGGGGCCCTCAACCTCGAGCTTGCATTTGCTCAACATTTGTCACGGGGAAGCGAAGAAAACAAGTTTCAGTCAGATTGAATATAGGGAAGATTCCAAATCAACTGCAGTTGATGATGGTATTGTTGAGCATAACAGACCTGCTTCTTGCAGCATGACAGATTCTTCGAATGGCTCCAGTTCGATCATGCACGTCAGTTCCTCAAGTTCTCACAGCTTTGAGGAAGGACAGTATTCTAAAGAAAGAACGAGCTCACATGATAGTGGGTCTAAAGTTACTGTGAAAGCGACCTACAAAGACGACACGATACGTTTCAAGTTCGAGCCTTCCGCCGGGTGTTTCCAACTTTACGAAGAAGTGTCCGTGAGATTCAAATTGCAAAACGGGACGTTTCAGCTCAAGTACTTGGACGATGAGGACGAATGGGTGATGCTGGTTAGCGATTCGGATTTGCAGGAATGCCTCGAGATTATGGAATATGTCGGTACACGGAGTGTCAAGTTCCTCATTCGCGATGTGCCTGCTGCAATGGGCAGTTCTGGCGGTAGCAATTGCTTCTTGGCTGGATGCTCCTAACATCTGGGTCCATCTTGTTGTTGGGGGCTTGAAATTCGCCAGCATCGTCCTTACCCTGACGGTACCACGTCCATGATTGATCTTCAACGATGTTTTGGTGGCACATTTCACGGTTCTGAGCAGTGACTTGAATGATCGATTGGCACGGGCACGTCAAGATGAAGGAGGGGAGAGTGTAAGGAGAGAAATGTTGGAATCTTTTCAGTGAGTTTAGCATCTGTAAATGATAGAAGCAGCTGTAGAAATAGCACTTCCCTATGGGTTGAACACCTTGTGGTCCTGTCTTGTTCTCCCAATCTGTATAGACTTTTTATCATAGAGTGTGGGGAAAAATGAATGAAAGGGAATATAGCAGGCCCGAGTTCGTGCACTTTTTTCTCCGTCGCGATTTCGTGGAAAAGCTTTTACTGGGGCGTTCCGCGCTGTTTGCAGGAACAAATCTGATCCGATACTTGAGGTCTTTTCCAATGAAAATCTGTCGGAATTTTGTTCATTTTCTAGATTCAAGCAGGTGAGCCAACTCCTACTTGCTCCATGCTCATCCATTTACATGATGGGAAGAGCAATACATTGCTTTAGAGGTGGCCAACGGTTCGAACCGCGGTTCCGGTTCGTGGGCAAGCGTGAACCGGGCGCAACCGCCTCGGCGGTTCCGGTTCCGGGTCGGAACTGCACGGTTCAGTCCGGTTCGAACCGGTTTCGACTGTTCGGTTCGGAACCGGTTCCGGGTTCCTATTTTTTCTGTTTTTTTCTTTTCCTTTTCCTTTTCTTTTTTTTTTCTTCCTCCGCGGCCGGCCATAGCCGGGCCGGCGCGGAGGTCGCCGGCCTCTAGGCGAGGCGGCCTCGCCGGCGTCGGGCGAGGCCGGCCCGGCTCGGGCCGGGCGAGGCCGGCCGGCCTCGCTCGACGCCGGCGAGGTCGAGCCTCGCCAGCTTGAGTGCGAGGCCGGCTCGCCCGACGCCGGCGAGGTCGAGCCTCGCGCCTGGTGCGAGGCCGAGCCTTGCGGCTGCCGGGTGAGGCCGGCCTCGCCCGCCCAGCGAGGGCCGGCTCGCTGACGCCGGCGAGGTCGAGCCTCGCAGCGGTGCGAGGCCGAGCCTCGCCTCGCCGGCGCCGGGCGAGGCCGGCTCGCCCCCCCAGCGAGGCCGCTCGCCCGACGCCGGCGAGGGCCCTCGCCCGGACGCTAGCGACTCGCCGCGGCGGCCGCGGAGGAAGAAAAAAAAAATTAAAATATAAATTATAATTTTAAAAACAGAAACAAGGAAAAAGACAAAAGAGAAAAAGGAAAAACAGAAATGAAAATAAAAAATTAAAAATACTATTCTTGTGATAGAACATTATTCAATATAAATTGTGATTAAAATGTAAATTGTACTCAAATTTGGGGACAAAAAGACAAGAGAGAAAGAGAGGGCTTCAACTTAATAAATTATCATTAAGCACATTACAATTCGTTATAACGATCTTAAAAAAAAGGAGTACAATATATATACCCTAAAATTATCCCAAAACCTAAGCATTCCGTGCGCAGGGGACCGAGAGGTCACATATCGTCGGATTATATTTCGGTTTCCCTAAGCTCACGGGCGTACCCGGTATGAGAAACAAGAGTTCCCGAAATATTTGCCAACTCCAATAGTTCTTTTACTCCTCAATCGTCACTACCCGTTCCAAGTACATCGATAGTGGTAGCGGTAGTATCTCCGTCGTTAAAGAATTCGGATTCATTATTCCGATCTATCTCTTGTTGCCCTAGTATTGAGCCTTCGTCCAATCAAGCAACACAAGCTTGCATCTCCACCGATTTGGATATAATCTTGAACGATGTTCGTTCAAAATATTACCTCCGGAACCGAATGCTTGTTCGACCGCAACCGTAGAACAAGGGGTTGAAAAATCTGTTTTGCAATAAGAGAAAGGATTGGGTATTGGCTTGCGTGCCTCTTCCACCAATCCAAAATAAAAAAATCTGCTTACCACCTTCGCTTCGCAAACTCAAATAAAATGGTTAGATAACTCTCTAATTCAGAAATATTTCCTATTACTCCCTTTTTTTTTTGTCTATGTAATAAAAGTTGGTACCCTCTACTAATTTTAATCTTGTCATTTTGTATCTCCGTAGATTGAGAAGATCTAATATCACCTAAATTATATTTAGTATAAAATTCATTATATAATTCTATTACTACGTTTTTAACCTCACGTACTATGGTTGTAACATTTGTCACATCATAATGTAAACATTGATAATACACACGCAAAAAATCATTTAAGCCATCCAATTTGCAACGCGGATAAAAACACAAGCAACTAAATAAATCATGGGAATTTCACTATAATAATGAAGCCATTTCATTTTCATTGCAACTACAGTAGGTTGTAATTCAACATCATTTTCATATTCATCAAAAGTTCCGACAATATTAGTACACTCTACTAAAAATAAATGTGTAGTAGGATAATAAACACCAGACAAAGTATAAGTTGCATCATTAAAAACCTTTAAAAGATCTAAATTTTTTTGGCAAATATGCCACTCTTGTGGGTATAAATTAATCTCAGGTATATTATTAGAAATGAATGCACATAATAAATCTTTATATGCTAAAGATTCACTAAGCAAGTGGAAAGTAGAATTCCAACGAGTTGGAACATCTCTGAAATCTTTTGGCTTTTGCCATTATCTCTACAAAATCTACCCCATTCTTTCATTTTTTGGGATGTTTCCATAAAAATTGAATCGCCGTTTTTATTGGTTGAAGAAAAATATCAAGAGTTTTCAAACCATCTTGTACACATAAATTTAAAACATGACAAGCACATCTAATGTGAAAAATTTTCCACCAAAAGCGGGTTTACAAATATTTTCTAACTCGGCAATGAAGCGGTATTTGCTGCGGCATTATCAAAACCAATTGAAAAAATTTTGTTAAGCAAATAATATTCTTCTAAAACTTGCCTAATTAGTCTATAAATATTATTTGCCGTATGATGATCATCGAAAACTCTAAATGCAATAACTCTTTTTGAATAGTCCACTGTCATCTATCCAATGACATGTTATGCCCATGTAAGAATGATTTTGCCAATGATCACTCCAAATATCACTACCTATATGCACGCATCCATTAAATTGCATAAAAAAGTTTTGTAAATCATTTTTTCCATTTTTGTAAAGATCTTTAATTACTCGTTTAGTTGTATTTCTAGAAACACGTTTTGCTTGTGGAGCACATGCTTTTTGTACAAATTCATTAAAACCAAATCTTTCTCCAAAATTAAATGCTAAATGCTCAACGGAAATAAATTTGCCTAATTCTTCCTTATAAGTTTTTTCATTAAAACGAAATAAAGGGAAGTGTTAGGATTGACGTAAGAAATTTGTTGTTGCCCGATATCGATTCCGTTTCAGTTGGATGTTTGCTCATAAGATGTCGTTTAAATGTTCCATATCCTTGTCCTTTGTATATTTATATATTTTTCCACAATATTTACAAATTATATCATACCTTTTTTGACCGATATCAAACCTTTCCATTTTCGTGAAGTGATTCCAAATGTCGGATGTAAATTCCCGTTCCGCTTCCTTTGTTGTAGATATTTCAGCAGGAGGATGAAAACTTTCTTGCGTCGGGACGCGCTCCACATCGTGAAAAATGTTGATTTCATCATCTTGAAAATCTGCATATTCACGAGGATCAAAAGAATGATGGGATTCCGTCGCAATATTCTTACCTTTGCCAGTGGCACTCGACTTCCACTTGCCATTTTTCGAATGGATTGAGAGAATTGAGCGGATTAATTGGGAGAATTAAGAAAGAATTGCGTGGATTGAGAAAATTGAGAGAATTTTGAGAATTTGAGAGAATTTCGAGTATTGAGAAAATTTGAGACTGAGAGAAGAGAATTGGAGAGAATTTGAGAGAATTGTGTGTGTATTGTGAGAATTTGAGAGAATTTATAGGAAAAAATGGAAGAAAATTTAGAATTAAAAAAAAACATAACCGTTGCAAAATTGCAACGGTTATGTGTTTTTTTTTATTATCAAAATGCCCGTTGGGGCGTAGCCGTTGCCCCAACGGGCCGCAGCAAGCTGGCGCAGCAGGCTCGCACGTCTGCAGCCCCGCCGCAAATAAATCAAAAATTTTTTTTTTTTTTTTTTGTTGGGTTGTCCGTTGGCCCGTTCTCCTGCGGGTGCAGCGCTGCAGCAGGTGGCGCACTTGCAGTCGCGTGGCTGTAGCCCGCACCTGCCAGCAAGCTTTTTTTTTTTTTTTTTCTTGCTTTTCAGGAACCGAGCTAGGCAACCGTGATCCCGTTCCATGCCACGGGGTTCCGGTTCCGTCTGAACCGCGGGCCCGGTCAACGGGCCGGGCCCGGGTTTGACCGGGCCGGTTCGGTCCGGTTCCGGCCAAAACCGGCCCGTGGCCACCTCTGACATTGCTTAGAACACAATCAACATGGTTTTGCATTCAAAGATTTCCTTGATAAAAGAGGGTTGCCTGCAAATCTGTGAAGCCCGTAGACAGACAGATACATCTGATACCGTCAACTATGCACTCTCTTGGTTCTTGGAAGATCCCACTAAATGCGAGTCGAATCTCAATGGGTTATTCGAACACGAGATTATTTACATGGATTAATAAGAGTAGAAGCAGTCAAGTGTGTCGACGTAACCTGAGAACTTATCTTGTTCGCATTATCGAGAATTCAACGCACAAGAGATTATTTTTCTCGATAAAAGCATGCGTCAGTCAGACTCACGATAATGACATCGCGATCGTGTCGACTTTTTCCACCGGTACTTTTCAGGACAACAGTGCTACATGCTCCCTCGTCCTCGTCGCGATCCATATTAATCTCCGTCCCGCATATTGCTAACAAGAAGATTGTAATACTCCGGCTTATTTCCATGTCAATTTGAGATTTCTTAAGACACAAATAAAAATCTCACAACACACAAAAAAACGAAGAAAAGAAAAAAAAAAGTGTGCAAACAAGAATTCAAAATAGTGGGAAGGCATAAATACAAAATAAGGAATAAACACAAGCTTCCAAGAACAGAGACGGACCCTCCCAGGTCATTGCGCTAATCGCCCCCACCACAACCACGCCGGCCTTCGATTCAAAGGCGCCGGTCAAATCTCTCTCTCTATCACATGTCGCTGCTTGTCTGCAACTCCCATGGCGTCTAATCCTCAGCCCCCTTCAGGTTCGTTCCGATTCTTCGTCGCTATTGATCGATCGATCGGCGATCGCGTGCTTGTCCTGTCTTCTTCTTCTGGGAATCCTAGGTTTTCTTTTTTTTTTTCCCACGTTGTCCCCTCGACCGCGGAACGCCGCCGATGAATTTTTCGGGTTCTGTGTCGGCGATTTCGATTGCGCTCGTGATCGGGGGACGTGTTCCTTTCTTTTTTCGGTTTATGGCGAACGATTGGACCTCGCTAGCGTGTGTGCTGTTGCTTTTCGGTTCGCTGTCCGTTGAGCAAGTGGGATTCGGGGGTGTCTTCTCGATGAGTCTTTGGTCGGTGGTGGTGGGTTGACTTCCGTTTTCATTAGTTTTAAGAAAGTCGGATGCTTTGGGTTGACTTCCATTTGTTGGCTGGATACTTTCATCTGAATGCACAACTAGCTCGATTCAGTCTCTTTTTAAGGAATTGATTAAGGGATTGTCTTGCTTGATGAACTCATTAGAGAACTGCTTGGTAGTTGGTAGGTGATTTTGTGAAGAGAAGTTCGACTAGTTACATCATTCTGCTCTTTTCGCATTGGTACTTTTACAGCCCGATTTCCGGGGTCACTCTAGACAAATGAAAGATCTTTGTGATTTGTGGCTGGATGCTGTGACCCGCATGTGATGACCATGTTTTTGTGATACGTAAATACCTGTCTTGTTACGTTCTTTGGATGTTTCTCCGCCTGCATAGAAAAACTCTGTGCTGTCTGAGTTGAACAATGTTCTGCCGTTGCAGCTACTCCCCCGCCAAAACCATGGGAGAGAAGCGGTGCCTCTTCTGGTCCCGCACCTTTTAAACCGCCTTCCGCTGGCAGCACCAGTGATGTAGTTGAGGCTTCAGGAACTGCAAGTCCGGGAGAAATTGTTGCATCCACTGACAGGACTACCACTCCTAATAGGAATGCTGTGGGAAGGCCTGTTCCTACGCGGCCATGGGAGCAGCAGAGCTATGGGAATAATACCTATGGAGGTGACCGTTGATTTTGTTGCAGAAGATGATATCTTTACTACCATCTTTAATTGAAGCATATTTTTAAATTGCTTTTATCTGCAGGTTATGGTTCTAGTTTGAATTACGGTTCGGGTTATGGATCTGGAATGTATGGTGGAGTAGGTGGAATGTATGGCAGCAGTATGTATGGTAACTCCATGTATAGGGGAGGCTATGGAGGCCTTTATGGATCCTCTGGAATGTATGGTGGTGGAATGTATGGTGGTGGATTAGGAGGACCAATGGGCGGCTATGGGATGGGAATGGGTGGCCCTTATGGAGGTCAAGATCCAAACAATCCATATGGCGAGCCATCTTCTCCTCCAGGGTTTTGGATATCATTTTTACGGGTGGTAAGCAATGTTCTTGTGCTTTCCTCTTCCTTGTGAGGTTCATTTAAAGGATGTTGATTGGGCACCTATCTCCTGATTGCTTTGACTGTTTCGAACTTATACTTCTAAATGGAACTGAATAGAGGCTTTTGTTATTGATTGTTGTTGCGAGGAAAAAAGATTGATTGGTGAAGACACCATTCTCATTTTCATGTCCTGCTTTTATGAAACTTATCTACATTCACTTCTTCCCATCCTTGCTAATTTTGCAAATGCAGGTTTAAGAATTCTTGAGACTGTTAAAGCATACCACTTTTCTTGTATATGGGTTCATATAGGCCTTATATACATATTGTCTCCCTCCATCTAAGGCATAAGCTTTTGGATTGAATTTTATGACATGGTATCAGAGCTGGTTTCCATCTCAATTTTTTTGTGTGTGTGAGATTCCCCATTCATCAATTCCAAGTGCTGTTCTCAGTCTGGTTTGCACTTGAAAGGGGGTGTGAATGTATCCCATATCATTTGTGTACGCGTTCAAAAAGGCCTATAAATATGTTGTCTACCTTCACCTAAGGCTTAGGTTTTTTGGTTGGACCTCATAGTCGTATTTTTAGTTGGTTGAGATTAATCAAATTCTTAAATGCATAAACATTTGTAAGTCTGTTATGTGGTGCATTACCAGGAACCTTGTTATGTGATTCATTTAGTTGGTCAATTAGCTTTGACACATTTCAGTTCCCGGTTAAATATCAAATATGATGTCTTAGGACCATTTTTGGTTCCAAGTTTTCCACAATTGCGTGTCGTTACCTTGTTATTAGGTGAAACATTTTTCTTCTCTTAGATTGTGTCCTCAGAACGTGTTGAAGTAATTGCCTCAATCTTGATTTTTAAGGCAATGGATGAAGACATAGTTCTCTAGACCTATATTTAGAACTATAATTTAATGCGTTGTTGTACAAATTTATTTTATGGACAGCTCATTTTAGCTTTTCTCTAATGCCAGATGCAAGGAGTGGTAAACTTTTTTGGCCGCATTTCAATTCTTATTGACCAAAATACTCAAGCCTTCCACATGTTTATGACAGCGCTTCTTCAGGTAGTCTTTTATGTCCTGCGGCTTCTCTGTTAAATGTAATTGCAGAGTGATGTAATTATTGGGTTTTCAGTCTTTATCTATTAATAGCGTGAATTTATGATATTATGATTCAGCTACATAGACACTCTTTCACCTTAAACACCTGTTTCTCTCCCTGTCAAAGTTGACAATGCATAAAGTTTGTGTATCTCCCTGTGCGGAAATATGTACAAGCTCATACCCATTGCAATGGTATTGTCCTGTCCGTATTGAGTATTCTGGAGTAAATTTGAATTAGGAAACCGCATTGCTTAAACTCTGTCAGTTTGCTGTGCAAGTTTCTTTAGTGGACTGCAATATGTAATTTAACTGAAGTGAAGGGGGCCGTAGTGTTCATGGAGGGAAGGATAGATAGGTATTACTATACTGTTTGGTAAAAATTGGCTTGAAAGGAAAGTGCATTTGAAAAATAAATACATGATTAGGATCAAAGCTGAATCTGAGAGGGGAAAATTCGTTTTTTCCACTTCTTCACTTTTTAAAGATGATGGAAATTTGAGACATGATTGGTTTTACTTGATGTCATTATCTGTAACAGACCTTTAGCATGGTAAGAGCACTAGTACATTATGTTTTGTAACTTGTTTAGTACATTATGACTGTGAAAGCTTTTGTTAGGATTTTGTCTTCTTGTGATATTGTATTAATACTAAGCTCTCAGCAATCTGGTGTGTTACTGCAGCTTTTCGATCGATCTGGAATGTTATATGGTGAGCTTGCTAGATTTGTGTTGAGGTTGCTGGGGATCAGGACGAAGCCCAGGAAAGTCCACCCACCAGGCCCTGACGGACTTCCATTTCCTGGACCGGACAACCCTCATGCCGTTCGGGGCTACAGTGAGGAACCAAAGGCCACTCCGACTGGTTCTTGGGACAATGTTTGGGAAAATGATGCCTCTAGATAATGTTGGATCAGCTACTTTGCCTGAGTGCACACAGATTGGTCAAGAACGCAATTCCTGTGCGTGAGTGCGTGCGTGTGTGGATTTCTTGAGCGGACTGGATCTCTGTTGTGCTTTAGTGTAATTTGTTATTGTGCAGAAAGCACATATGATAAATAATAAAAGTTCGATGGCTTGGTTGAGAAATCTTGATTATAGTTGCAATAGCTACTGGAATGTGTTGAGTGAGAACTCATTCCTGTTAATTATGTTGCACCAGTGAATGTGTTGGAAACAGCAAATTAAAGGTTTATTTTGGGAGGGTTGGACTGGCAAGAATATAGACCATTGGGAAATGATTTTCGATGGCGGTTGTTCGCGTACTTTTATTATCAAATGGTCTTTTACAACTTGGAATTGTGTGGGGAAGAAAGATCAATGACCTATTCAACCAGGTCTTTCCCTATGCACTCTGTTTTATTATCAAATGGTCACTTTTATTATATAGGATGCTGAGCGTTCTCGCCCTAGTGAATAATTCTGTACGTGCCACCGGTAACAATGTTTTTCGCATTATGAACTGCCATGATCAAGTTAAACTCGTCTCTCACACACCTCAACCAGAAATAAATAAGACATCCACGCTTGACCAAAGACTTGGGCGCAACATTTGATCGAACCTGGGAAGCCACAAGGAGAGTTTATGTTCCGTGCTGAGTAAAACTCGGCAATTTCCGAGGCTTGTGCACTTCAGATGCGAGTCAGAACAACAAGGGAACTTTCCATGCCAAACTTAGAGATTGAACTCAGGGAATTGATCTATAGCCGGTGTTAGGAAGAACATCTCGCGGGAATTGAATATTGAGAAGGAGATTGGGAGATTCACCAACAGCTAGACTTTAAATTGGAGTTGCCGCATGTCTGTAAGGTTAGACTTATGAATTCTCCTGGGAAAAATGCTATTTAGTTACTAGAGAGCCTAGTCAACCAAAACACAGATTGAGAAGTACTATGGGTAAAATTAATGGAGTGCTCTTGTTTTTGCAAACCTACATTCCGTCTCTGAACAGAGAACCCTGTTCGCAGAGCTCCTTTTCTCTCGGCTCTTGGATAGGAGTAGATTACTTCCTTTCATCCACATCTCTCATTGGAGGGAGGGGACATCGTGCACAGCTCATGCCGAGGTCGGCTCGATATAGGTGAATATGTCCCATGCAGACAGGCTATGACTCTCACAATTCCTTTGCCCGTAAGAGTCATCATATTGCCAGCCAAATTGGTCATGTGAGTGCCGACAGAGTAGTTATGTCCACAACCAGGAGACCTATGCCTTCCAAGCCGAGTCAATATCCATCCGAATCATGGCATCAGGATGGCCAGCTGCTTTGAGATTACCATAGCATCCATTTCATCCATGAGGCAAGAGGCATGAGGCCGAGTTGGTCTTCTTTCCCTGGCCGAGCAAGTCAGCTTTTTGCGAGTCTTCTTATCTTTCCCCAGATAATTCCCCACGGAGGAAAAGTCTTCGACTCCCGCCATATGCAGCAATTAACTATGAAGCTTAATTCAAGCAAGATTCCAGAGCTTACTCGAGGAACGAAGATATGATCCCCTTCCCATTGAGAGTTGACCTCTTAAGGAATGCTTGTGCACTCCTTCAATCTTTCCATCACACTGCAAGAAAAAAAGGAAGAGTTTCGAGACAAAAGTACCAATCGGAAACAATAAACCGGACATCACAAAAAGAATAGACATGGCTTTGTTTTTTTAGCCTCGAGACATGATCCCTCGGAAGCTTGCTATTGACGACTAAGGTGGGCCTAATTCTATTTAATTGATTAGAACTAAGCCTAAGCTATTTATCTAAAAATGAGGCTAAGTCTAAATTGATTTTATTTCTTGAGAATTGAAATTTTATATTGAAACTAATCCTAATGATGATTAAACTAACTATTACAATAGTGAGACCGGATTTGACATTGGTCTTAAATTACTGTCTTTAAGAGCCTCGGCCCCCTCCTCCATGGACCGCTTCGAGTGGCCTCCGTTGATGGTGTCAATTTCCATTCATTTAACTTATTTGCATAACATGCACTCAATCATACAAAACAATCAACAATGTTCATCTAATCAAACATCGGAATAGCCTCGGGGTCGGCTTTTGACTTTCAGGCATTACGATTATCTCAATCTCCCATTGATTAAGACCGATTGATTAATGGTTAATGACGATCGGCCACCACTTGCTTTTACATGACAACAGTCGCATCAATTAACCCTTAATTTGGTTCTAATCGATTTCCAATAGGCCACCCATCGAGCATGCATCGTACATAACATTCATCCAGCAAACACATGCATTTAATTAAACATGCATTTAGGTAATTTGACCTTGATTCTTAATCAATCATACAAGATGAAGTGAACCATCGAAGGGTCACTTATTCAGTTTAATAACAAATTTGGACTAATTATGCTCAAACTCAGTCAACCCATCAAACGAAATCCAATTGAAATGATTCAAGCGTCAATAGAAAGCTTAGGATGTACAGTTCAAAGTTCATGAAAAACCACATGACCCAGTTCTAAACCGAAAAACCCGAAATTGAGCAAAAAATACCCGACAGTTTGGAATTGACCCGGTTTTGACCAGCGAGATTAAAAAAATATGGAAAAATAGTTTGAAAATTCAAAAGTCTGCCAAATTTAAAAGACATCTTTCTCATTCAGTTATTAACAACTTTCATGTTTTAAAATTTGACAAACAAGCCCTCGAACTGTAAGAAATTTGCATGTTTTCCCGGGGATGTCACTGAAAAACAGTTTTGTAGGCCAGGACCGACTTCTTCCCCCTAAAATTTTCTATTTGGTTCTCAAACTTTCCAAATCACTAAATAAGTCCCTAATGAACAACTTTTCAGTTTTGAGTGTTTGCAGAAAAGGACTCGAACTTCATCGAATTAGCAAAACAAAGTCGATGAGTGTAGGAACCAGAAAAACAAATTAGATACAAAATCTAATCGTCTTTTTGGTTGATGCATAATGCCAATCCAATGATTTAAAATTTTTATTTTTTTAAAACTTGCAGTGTTGGCTACAATTTTTAGGAAGAACACTTTTCGAAATTTTGAACTCAAAAGATTAGAAAAATCTAAGAACTGAGAAAGGTCAGATAGACTCGAAATTCCTGTTTAATCTATTTGTGATTCTTAGGTCTATAACATGAATTAGCATGTTAATTTCGACCATAATTAATCAATTTCATTCGTTAAAGAACTCATTCAACATATTAAGTGGTCAACACCACAACAATCAATTTATAAGTTTGTATAGCCAGCTAAAAGTATTCAACGCTGTATTCTGAATATTTAGTGTTTCATTCTCGAGATTTCTAGTGTAGAGTTCTTGTTGTCTTGTACTCGTGAGAAGATTAAGTGTACAGGCTTGATTGCAGCATTTAGTCCTGATAGTGCCATCTATCATCTGACAGGATTAGTACTCGCAGGATGTAACTTATCTTGGTGATTACTAGTACAATCCAGCCCAAATTGTGAAAGGATTCTTCACCATAGTTTCCTTATGAGGCGAGAACGCACGATAATGAGAATATAATAGGTACAAAAGTAATCCTTATAAATGTTCATAATGGAGAAAGAATATTTATAATATGTATACTGAAAGGATTCTTCACCATAGTTTCCTTACGAGGCGAGAACGCACGATAATGAGAATATAATAGGTACGAAAGTAATCCTTATAAATGTTCATAATGGAGAAAGAATATTTATAATATGTATACTGAAAGGATTCTTCACCATAGTTTCCTTACGAGGCGAGAACGCACGATAATGAGAATATAATAGGTACGAAAGTAATCCTTATAAATGTTCATAATGGAGAAAGAATATTTATAATATGTATACTGAAAGGATTCTTCACCATAGTTTCCTTACGAGGCGAGAACGCACGATAATGAGAATATAATAGGTACGAAAGTAATCCTTATAAATATTCATAATGGAGAAAGAATATTTATAATATATATACTGAAAGGATTCTTCACCATAGTTTCCTTACGAGGCGAGAACGCACGATAATGAGAATATAATAGGTACAAAATTAATCCTTATAAATGCTCATAATGGAGAGAGAATATTTATAATATATATACGTAAAGGATTCTTCACCGAATTTCACTAATTATCATAACACTTCACAGTAATGAAATCTTTAACGCAATTCACGATCGTCTTTGTCCTATCACTCTCCTTCATATCCTCTCTTCCACCAACGTACGCCACCCCTTTCAGGACGTACCATGTCCACATTGTCAACAACTTGCCCGGCGACTTCGCGCTGCTTTGCAAATCCGGTGATGATGATCTTGGGGCCCGGATCCTCCACCCAAATGAGGAGCAATTGATCCGTTTTAAGGTTAATATCTTTAGGACGACCCTCTTCTACTGCGCCGCCCGATGGGAGGAGCGATACAAGCAGTTCGACGCATTTAGGGCTCGTCGGGATGAGGACAGATGCGACAACGTGGATTGCTATTGGTCTGTGCGAGACAACGGGTTTCACTTCAGCAACGATAACACCACGTGGAGCCTCGAGTATACATGGGAATAACAATGCACCACATGTGTGATTGGAGATTGTTTTGATTGCACAAAATGACACGGAATAAAGTCAACTTGACTCGTATGTTTTCTATCGTTTGCAATTGCTTTGCATTGATGGCATTATCGTTGCGATTATCCATTTGCGGACTTCCTCATATCACAATGAAATCGAGGACTGAATTCACCCACAAGGATAATCAAAGACCGATTGACTTAGGTCAGATTAAATTCATCGAAAACCCATGGTTAAAACACTAAAAAGCCGCGGATACATTTTTACGTATTAATATTTCTTGGTGTCTCAAGTGTCTAAAAAAATCGACCATTCATCTTCATTTTTGTGGTCCTCAGTATCGATCGTGTTTTCTAGAATTGATAACTTTGACTACACTTAAAAATGCAAAAGAAAATTAGTTTAAATGTATCAAATACTAGTTTACAGCGTTAGAGCCAAACAAAAACCAAATGTCTCTAGTCACGCACCTCAAGCTATATTTTGGAAAGACAAAATAATGGAGAATCAAGAGATTTGTGGGACCACATCTCATCGTGTACATCAAATTAATAAGAACCGGTAACTTCTTCTCCCCTCTTTGTGTAATTAAACGAGTATAATAAACATTGGAATATATAACAATCAATTAGGCAATGTAAAATCAAGTGGGTCAAACCAAGTCTGGTTAATCAGGTTGACTTGGCTTGACCATGTCGATCCCGATTTGTCGTTTCGACCAAATTATGCCAAATTACCATGATTTTAGCAAAATTGATATAGAAATTGAGTTAATTTGACTTAATAAAATATGAATAGTGCTAATTGGCACTATTTATGAAGACCCTCTAAATTGGCGCTTAAAAATCGGCTTGAAATTGGCTTGAAATTTTAATGTGTTACGACCCCATGATCAAATGTCGAGAAGGAAATTAATCTAGAAAATGACTATAAATCAATGAATTTTGGAAATTGTTGATCGAGAGTTAAAATTCTCGATTTGACTAAAAAATCGATTCTCAATCATTTTTTTGTAAAATTTAAGAATTGAAAGTCTAATTAAGCTCATAAAGAATTAAATTTATGATTTTTCAATTTTTCGAAAAAAAATGTTGACCAAGAGTTGACTTAGGGGTTAACCAAAAAAGTCAACTCAAAAAACAATCTTGGATTATTGGGGAAATCAATGTCTAAGTTTAGACAGAATATAATGGAAGTTGAAAATTTTTGAAAAACAGTGAAATGACTTTTTGGCCAAGAAACAGGTCATGTCATGATTAGGGACTCCTAGTTTTATCCTAATCAAATTTGTCGGCTAAAATTCAAGTGTCAATAGCTATCTCTCTTTGAGAGGAATCTTTAAGAGGGAGCTCAAAGAAGTTCCTCTCAAAGACTAAATGATGCATGAATTTTTAATTGACTGACTCATTGAAAAGAAATGGCGTAAGAAATGACATTTGATTAGGGACGTACCTTGGTAAGGTACCTCGAACCTTTTCATCATTTGTACCGCATTTACGCATTCATGTTTTCCCTCTCTTCTCTCTTCTCTTTTGTGCCTGGTTTTTGAATGGATTTTTTTTTTTTATGATGATGAGACCAATATGGGTAATAGGAATACTTACCTACTGATAATGCTATAAAAGAAAGTTTGAAGGCTTTGACCACTTGGAGGGTGAAGCTCTAAGGCTACAAACCTGAACATACTTCGAAAGGCTATTTCGAATCACCGTATCCAAGCTACAAGTTGTGATCACTTGGATGGTGAGGGACCAAGGCTACGAACTTGCTACACTTTAAAATACCATTAAAATCACCATGTCCAAAACAATAGGTTGTGTCCTCTTGGGGGGCTGAAGCTCCAAGGCTCCAAACCTGCACATACTTAAAAAGGCTATTTGGAATCACTGTATCCAAGTTACGGGTTGTGATTAATTGGATGGTGAGGGACCACGGCTACAAACCTACTACACTTTAAAATACCATTAAAATCACCATGTTCAAAACTACAGGTTGCGTCCTCTTGGTGGGCGAGGCTCCAAGGTTACAAACATGCGTACTCTTGGGAAGACTATTAAAATCACCATATCCAAAACTGCATGCTGCGGTCACTTGCGGAGGGCGAGCCTCCAAGGCTACAAACCTATAAATGCTTTGAGATACCATTTAAAATAGAGTCATTCAAACTTACAGGTGGTTGTCACTTGGATGGTGAGGGTCCCAAGGCTACAAACAAGCGCATACTTTAAAGGACTATTAAATTCATCATATCCACAACTGCAGGCTGTGTCCACTGCCAACAAATCTCCTATATGAAATCACCAGTAAAAAGGTTCCGAGATTTCATAAGCAAATCAAACGAAAAATGTAATCGATCACGAAGACGTTGAATGTTATTCAAGAAATTGTTAACCAACTTTTTTGGTAAATGTCATCAGTTATCAAATTCCTTTGGAGGAGAATTTTCAACAAATTATCTTGGTTTACTCAAAGAGTTTGTTAAGATGCTAAATTGGAGGATCTTAATCATAAAGGTCTTCTCACAATTGCTCGCAAAAGGCTTTTGTTCTCATTTATTGATGTGGGAAGTCATTTTTGAACACTCAGGATATCTCATAACCTATGTCAAAGGCTTTTGGAAACATTCGCATTGAATACACTTCGATCAATCTAAAAGGTCTTTTAAGAGGACCGTGATGTTGGCTTCATCGTGAGCTTACACAAAGGATAATCGCGTTGAGGCCAAGAAAGAAATGTTTATCAGTTCATCTTCATTGGGTTTTCAAGTCAAGAATTTTGAAGATAAGATAAGAAACAATTGCTTCCACTCGTTCAAGTGGGAGCTTTCTTTGTGAAATCCTTGAATCCACTTGAACTATCTCGATCAGAAGAGACTTTCTAAGGGTTGTAATATAGGTCTGGTGAAAGGTTCAATAAGCTTGGAAAAGTCTTTTAGGGGCCTTAAAGTTTATGATTATCATGACATCATTACCGATGAATCAATTTTTTTTAAATCATCCAACTCATCTTGGAAGTCCGAAAATCCATTGGTTTGTCTTTCATTTGAAACTCCAGAGCTTCGCTCTTTTCTAAATGTCTTTGCATTTACATTGATTTTCTTTCCTCATAAGAACTTTATTTTTAATGTAACTTTTTGCTTTTTTTCTTGGCCATTGACATTACTTTTTCCAGACACGCTGCTCTTTCTTACCCCCTAGTTCCCATTTTCTTTTGACTTTTTAATTCTTTTGATTCTTTGGCCCTTTAAGGGCGTGAATGTTAAAATTTCTCTTCTCTGGCCCTATTTCTATTCCCTGGATGAGTTTCTGAGCAAAAAGTAGTGTTTGATAACAATACAAAATTTCCGTTCCCGAAATAAAAATTCGTTTAATAAGTTATTCTTGAATTTCTGGGCGGGCGATCGACACCGGTGGACGGGTGAGCAGGGGGCGGGTGGTCAGCAGATGGTGGTGGGCGGAGGCGGACAGCAGGCAAGCGACGGAGGACAACCAGTGAACGGCGGGAGCGGATGGCCAGTGAGTGGTAGCGGACGGCCGGTGGGCTGTGGACAGGCCGCAGCGAATGGACGGCGGCAGGCGAAGGAGGATAATGGGTAGGCAGCAGTGAGCGGCAGCAGCCGACTGATAGGCGGTGGGCAATGAGAGCAAGCAATAAAAAAGAGTTGTTATTTCTATTTCCGTTCTATAAATAAAAAAAAATAGAAAATTTTATTTTCTCATTTATGTTCCAAACCTATTTCTAGGTGAAAAATTTGTCCGGAAATGGAAAAATAAAATTATTTTACCAAACGGATTTATGTTCCAAACCTGTTCTCAAAAATAAAAAAATAAAAAAACAGGGAAACAGAATGGTTATCATTTGTGCTCTAGGACTCTGGAGACATTTTTCTCAAATTACCAATTCTTTTAAGAAATCACATGCCTTTCTCCTATTTAAGGAGATAATGACCGCTTGAGCTAAGAAATGAATATTTTGACTCAACTTGGCCAAGCAAAGAGAAATCATTGCTTGGGTAGTGCAATGAATGATTTTCTTCACTTTGGAATGCTTGAAACTTCCATGAAAATTCACATGAAGTTACCACAAAAAAGTTGATGAAAGTGAAGGTAATGAAATCTTTCTTAAACTTTTTCTCCGAATAAAACCTCTGGTACTTACCCCAATGTGGGGTGGTTCTTAACATGAATATTTGAAAATTCTCCTTATTCGAACTCAAAATGGCTAGTAAGGGATATCTTTAGTGTTTAGGAAAAGAGAAGGAGACACCTTTCGTCATTTCGATCCATGTATTCCTTGTGAATAAATTCTTTGTCCTAAAACACGGTTTCCTTTTCGATCCACTCAACTCTCAAAAATGTGTATAAGGGACATATTTAGGCATAGCTTGTCTTTTGTCATCCTAAGTACTCCCCGTTGGCATGCTTAACATTCTCTTTTTTAATTTCAAAATCACTTGTTTAAATTATCCTTCATTGGGACTTTTGATGCATGATGCATGTACCACTGCATGGATGAACAATTTTAGAATGTCAAACAAAACTCTTGAAGACAACGGTTTCAAAATTGTTTTAGACTCACTTTGAGTCTTGAACTTGGAATTATTTTTCAACCAAGGGTATCATTCAAGGATTTTGAAGAACAGGCTTCAAATGTTCATTTTGGATTCTGAACTTGGAAAAGCATTAAAAGTTTTCTTTTTCTTGAACAATTTTCTTTTGTTAAAATTTTATTCTTAATTGGAGTTTTTAGGATACTTACCTGCCCAGTGCCAGTGGGTCGACCCTGTAAAACTTAAAAGAGATTATGTTAATGAATATCTCCTGAGAATGACATATGACGTTACCATTACTCTTGTTCCCCAAGTTTTTGATGTTTTCCCTATCAAAAGAAAGGAAATTATGTCAGAAATGTGTTCAGGAACGGTGACTTGGAACTGATACAATTACCCTTCATTGAATCCATTGTTTGATTATTGCTTTAGCTTCTTCGAAGGCTAGTAAAAATGAATCGAATTCATGTTAGAAATGGAATGAAGAAAGATAAATTGAGAACGGATACTCAGTTACCCTTCTCCATTTTGTTGCTTGGGCTTTTCATTTGTAACTCCTCCATCGTCCATAAGATGATTTGCCCCTACATCTGCCAGGTACATGCTTCTTTTAAATCTCACCCCCGTGTTTGGTTGCATCGATGCCGCTTGCCCTAGCTAGATTTTTTAGTATGGTCGATGTTCCTCCATGTCCTCTTGTGATTTCTCGTTTGTTTTCCATTGCCACTTGTTTGGGTTTCTCTTCTTTTCACCTGTATGTAAAAAATGATATGTTAGTCTACAATTTGAATCAATTTGAGTTTAGGAATGAACTACCCCCCTTGATTATTAGAAATGAGACGTCATCTCTTTGACATGTCCATTATCTTCAATCATCTCGACTACTTGTGTCATCGACCATTTTCACCTATCTACAAGAGAAATGGATGAGCAAGTTAGTTCGTATGCGAGACGCTTTCATTGGAATGACTATGTTTACCGTCTTTGAAGCAGCATTCCTCGGGATCATTCTGCAAGAATGATTAGGTAAGAGAAATCAACATAGATGCGTGAATGTTTTGAAAATTATTTTTGAAAACAAAGATATTCACAAATACGTGATATGTCTCAACAGAAAACAATGTTTGAAAATGCTTTAAAACTTAGTCTTAATATCCTTGGACTTCCTCATTCGGCAAAAACTTTGAAACAAGGAAACGTGTGAAAGCCCAGTCCTCAAGGATCATCATAGGACTGGTTTGGGAATGCCCCATATGTCCTCAATAAAATGAATGCATGCTTTATTGAATATTAAAAGGATAATGCCGCATTACAACATAGACTACTGCAGACCAATGGCTCAAGCTCCGAATGTCATAGAGTTTTTAATACGAATAGAAAAAAGGAATTGAAATAACAAATAATTCCCAAGCAGGGGAAGGAAAACATGAAATGAAAGACTTTTCAAGCAAGAGCTTCTCTACGCCAAAGGGTGGATGGATGTGCTTCTAAGTGGCTTAGCAATATCGGTCACGATCATATGCACAGCTCCAAGGTGATTAAATCACATGTTTTCTTGCCCATTTGGCGGAGCATTTTCGAAAGATAACATCCTTTTATCAAGCAAATTTTAGACTTTGACCCTCAGGATCAAACAGTTGTCGGTCGGTGTCATGCCCATTTTCTTCCCATGTGATACTCATATGATTTGGACATATCAAATCCAATAAATGGTTTTTCTCTCGGAATTTCTTTGGCTACCATCCTCCTCTCGAGGATTGTCACAACCTCCCTGCTCGGGTAATTAAAATTTAGGTGTCAACAAGGATCATCGGCAATAACTCCGATAATGGTTTAGGTAGTGGAGAGAATTGGCTTCACGGTGCTCTTCTTTTCGGCTTGTAGTTCTGAGGTGCACCGGAAATCCATGCTATTTGACAAAGCCATATTATTTGCTAAAGAATGGACTAGTATAGTTTAATCAGAGTAGTCATAAAGTATATAAACGATTAATTCCTTATCTGTAGGATCATATAAAAAACCAAATTGATTCGACTCACAGAGCACAAATATCAATTTGACCAAAATTAAAATTTATGGATCATTGAACATTGATTAAGAGTTCAAGGACTAAATTTTGGTAGTGTCTCTTCTATTATTAATGCTAGAGAATATGAAATCGAGCTGTAAAAGAGATTGTACATCTTTATTGAATATTTAAAAATAATTCACTGGTTACAGTAGCTAATTGAAGTTTGTTGCATCATTTTTGCTATAAATCTTTGTGTCATTTGTTGTTCAATTTTGTAAAGCGATGCTTATGTCGATCTTAAACTGGGTCCTTTTCTTCTGGGGAAAGTACCAAAAATATATCTCATTGCGAACCAAATGACTACTTATTACCTCTATTTAGACGGATACCATTCACATACACTCTAAGCAAAACCGTACATTGAAAACACCACATTGCCCCTCCGTACAAATTCATTTTAGCATGTTGCTTAGGGTGTGGTGGTTTTTTTAATTTTTAGTTGATCTTTGAGTATTTTGGAGGTCAACGTTATATTTATGTATTGTCCCGGATAACTAATAAGAAGTTCTCAATCTATATTGATAAGTTTCTACAAATGACTTTTTTTGGCCAAGAAATGGGCCTTGTCGTGATTAGGATTTCCAAGTCTCGGGTTTTTATGTTTTTTGGACTTGTTGGTGAAAATTCAGGTGTCAACACGTGCACTAGTTTTATATCATCACATGAGTACTCACAGCTATAAAATAGCATAGACTCTCACTTGTATCAGTAAAACTTACGATCGGGTTTTAGAGGTCAAGCTTGTTGTATCCCTTTGCATTGGAAGTTTCTCGTGGCCACTTGCAACCTTTCAATATCTTGTAATCTTTCGATCATTTAATCATATTGTCACTTATATTTTTATTGTCCTTAGATATATCAATCATTCAGACATATTGTCATTTATATGCACAAAGGGCTCAGGGTTACGCGGAGGTGATTGGCGGCACAACTTCTATCGGAAATGGTGGCGGTACAATGTTGGTTGGGGTTGATAGTGGGAGCTCACCGCGCAGAGAGAGAGAGAGAACATCATGAACACCAAAACCAATTTTTTTTCCTTTTTTTTTCTTCCTTTCTGTTCTTTTCTTTTTTTTCCTTTATTCAATGTTTTTTTTTACCTTCGTCTTATTCCTCTCAGCCTCACCGAGGGCTGCCCAGAAACCTTCAATCTCCATGAACACCAAAACCAATTTATACACACAACATCACAACAGGACCTCAGACAACCGGAGTTCATCAAACTAGAGCATCAGAATAATGAACATAGACTCTTCTGCCGATCATCCCATCTACGGCTCGACCTCCACGCACCGGCACAAGGAACAAGAGGGAAAGTTAACTAACGCAATGAAACCTCAGTCGCGTCACCCGAAGCTCAAATCAGTATGTTGAGAACATATCCTTGTCAGGAACGCCATTGAGTCACCGAAGTAGGACCCAGAACATACACAAAGGAAATGTGTTCAGATACCCCCTCATCGAAATGAAATATACCCAGAATCAGGCCTAAATACTAACACGACGATGAATAATGTAGTAAAGCGCGTCCGATGAATAATAAAAGTTTGAGAGCTCGGTGGAGAAATCTCAGTTATAATTACAAGAGCTCCTGGAACGCTTCGACTAAGAAGAACGCATCCGTGTTAGTTATATCGTGCCTGTGAATGTAAAGTGCGGGAAACAGCAAATCGAAGGATTGTTTTGGGAGGGTTAAACTAGGAAGAATGTAGACCATTTGGAATGATTTTAATCGGGGGTTGTTCGCATACCTCTTTACTATTGAATGATCTCTTACAACCTGAAATGATGTAGGGAAGAAAGATAAACGACCCGCTCAACCAGGTCTTTGCATTCTGAAGTCAGTACGTTTTTTAATGCTGAGCATCTGAATAATTTTCAAAGTGCCACAAATACACTGTTTTTCACGCCATGAGCTGCCATGGACAAGTTAAGCCGGTCTCACGCACACACCTCAACCAGAAATAAGTAAGTGAAAAAGCATAGAAAGAACGCCTTGCTCGACCTAGAGTTTGAGCTTAAAACCGAGAGAAAACCAACGACTTTGTGCACGACATTTATACGGACCTGGGAAGCCACGAGGAGCGTCCATGTGTCTGTGCTGAGTGGACTCGGAAATTTCATAAGCCCTTGCACATCAGTTGCGAGTCGCAAGAACATGAAACTTTTTTCCTCGCAAAACCTGAAGATTGAACTCACGGAGTTGATCTATAGCTGGTGTTAGGAAGAGCACCTCGTGGAAGTTGAAAATTGACAAGGAGATTGGGAGGTTCGCCAACAACCAAGACTTTAAATTTGAGTTGCCACATTCTGTAAGGTCGGACACATGAATCCTGCTGGGAAAAATGCTATTTAGTTAGTAGAGCCAACTCAACCAAAACACAGACGGTTACCAGCACTGAGAAGAGTTATGGCAAAAATTAGTCACAGGAGATATTGTGTGTGTCAATCAAGACGATGGCTAAGAGTACCCTTCAAACCGAAGAAGAGAGAGAACTGAAGCGAAGGAATACATGGCATTGTGAGGGGGGTCGATTGCACTAACAAGTCTAGACATCAATCAAAGTGCATTCATTCTAACACTATATGTAATACATTGTTTCACAATCCTTATTGCGAGGGCAAACCTTTGCTTGGTAGTTGTTAGTGCTAGGTTGGTTTTAAATAATAGATATAGATTGGGCTAACATGTCCAAAATGGGGATAACATGACTGTTGGGGTCAAAGAATCCTAACACATCTCTATAGAGCGATCATCATCTGAACTTCAGGAAACACTGGATCGTGAGTGTGATCTGGATTGCAAATAATAGAGGGCTCTTGTTTTCGCAAACGTACATTCCCTCTCTCAGGCCAAAGAACCTATACACAGAGCACCTTTTCTCTCGGCTCTTGGATAGCAGGAGTAGATTACTTCCTTTCACCCACATTACTCATTGGAGGGAGGGGACATCATGCACAGCCCATGCCGACATTGGCTCGATATTAGGTGAATATGTCCCACACAAACAGGCTATGACTCTCGCAATTCATTTCCCCTTAAGAGCCGCAATGCCAAATAGGTCATCTGAGTGCCGACAGAGAAGTAATGTCCACAACCAGGAGACCTATACCTTCCAAGCTGAGCCAATATCCATCCGAATCATGGCATCAGGATGGCCAACTGCTTTGAGATTACCATAGGATCCATTTCATCCATCAGGCATGAGGCCCAGCAGGTCTTCTTTCCCTGGCCAAACAAGTCAGCTTTTTGCAAGTCTTCTCATCTTTCCCCAGATAATTCCCCATGGAGACAAAGTCTTCAACTCCCGCCATATGCAGCCATTAACTATGGAGCTTAATTCAAGCAAGATTCCAGAGATTACTTGAGGAACAAGGATATGATCCCCTTCCCATTGAGAGTAGACCTCTAAGGAATGCCTGTGCACTCCTTCAATCTTTCCATCACACTGCATGAAACAGGATGTGTTTCAAGATACAAGTACCAATGGGAAACAATAAACCGGACCTCAAAAAACTCATTTATAAATCCCAGAAATGATCACAATATTTGCAGTGGCCTCATATAACATCACATTCTAAAGTATGGCACTAGCAGTATTACCTTATGATGTGATCATTGTTTTTTCTACTATTCAAATTCATGAGCAGAGGGTGAGGGAGTAAGGTAGGAATCATACTCAAGACCGCCACCTATACCTTATGAAATATTACTGATAAAGAAAAGAACATATGAAACTGTTCTTCAGGGGAAATACTAAAACTAGTAGATAGATCAAAAGTAATCTTTCATTCGTTAGATTTGACAAACCATCTCTTGAATCTAGCTTTGTAGCAATGGTAAACCCCTCGCACCCCTTGATGAATTTTATCTTAAATATTCAAAAGAATAAAAAAAACATATGGAACAAGATTTTGCCAATAAGTGGGATAAGTAAAACTCTGTCATACCTCTTCTTGAGGCATGGAACTAGATTTTCGAGTGCTCTATGGATGACAAAATCTTCTGAGCCCTCGTGATGACTAGAATCCTTCTTTTCTGCAATTGTACACAAATAGCCATTATCAGTCATTAACACAAACTTCTGCTGACAATCTAAACATGTAAAGCAGTAAATGCTGGGAGTAACAATAGCCACGTTGTTTATTTGATGTCATTCACCAAGTACCTTTTAAAATGATATGGATGGTTACAATGGTTACTGTGGTGATGAATTGGTTAAAACAACAAGGCACCTCTACCATGATATAAGTTACTGACGGGCAATCAATCACTCAGTCACCATTCTTACAATGAAAACTGATGTTTCCTCAAATATAATTTGAACAAAGTTAGGGAACAATGACACTGTTTCAACAGTAAAGCATGAATCCCTTTTCTTCAATGTTGTCCCTCTAAGGATAAAGCTTGGTTGGTATACCTTCATGACCTTCTTCATTGGACTGATCACGCCCCAGATATGAACTCTCGTTCATTTCTAGATTCAAACCTTCTCTTTGTGCAAATTCTTCCAATATATAACCTACCAAATTATAGGCAATTATACTTGTTTCATCACAAGCTTCCTGGACAGCAAGGTATCGATTTATGCAAGTGCTTGGTCTGTTCAAGACATCCCTTTGTTGATTCTTCAGTTCATCATCTTCAGCCTTGTGTCTCTTGAGAGATTTTGCAAACCCTGTGTTGGGTGACAGAAAAGAGAAGGGACCATCGCTATTGATTTTAGCAGAACTAAAGTTGCTCAATGGCTTTAAATCATCTATATCCATGCCATTCAAGCCTTCAGAACTCTTTGAGTCTTGGAATAACAAGGAAGAACTGCTATACCAAGCAGCAGTGGAGGCAATACCGGGTGAGATATCTGGCTCACATTTAATTGCAGCAGCACTGTAAAACACTTTCCTTGGGGTGTGACTGGGAGAACTACCATTACCCTTAATATTAATAAAAGGCAGGTTGGAGCTATCAGTAATAGACTCTCCAGTACCTTCCACTGGAAACAATGAATCAATGTTGTCAGACCTTCCACTCTTTAATATCCTTGTATGTCTCTCATCTTCATAATCGGAGTCAGCGTCATCATCACTTTCTTCCAATTCTTCCATATAAGCATTGGCGAAATCTGTATCATACCCAATTTCCGGAAGCAAATCCCAGACATTCTGCTTCATATGGGCACTGACAACCAAACTGCATTCTACTTCTTCTTCAACTTCCTCCTTAGGAAAGGATGAAGGTGGTGCAGTTCGAGAATTCCTGTTAATAAAAGCCAGACTCTCCAATAAAGACCTTGGGATCACATCCAAATCAGAGCATTCGAAAAGATACTCAGTCAAAACGTTCTTGACTGCTGTTCTTAGACGACTATTTGAGACTTTAGCACTGGGGTCCAGCAGTGACTGAAAAACTTTCAGCTCCTGAAATCTAACTTTTGAGTTCAGTAGCCAAACAGCCTTCACAATTTCATCCTGCAAACTTCTAATTTCCGGTGCAAATTGGTAAAACTCCATTCCTGCGGATCTTTGAAAGCCTGATGCTAGCTTTAAAGATAACACTGCTATAGCCATTGCTTTAGCTAGTGGTTCTGGTATACAATCTCTTGAACCAAGATCCAGCAACATGTTTCTACTAGTTTTCCTCACTTTTTTTATCAGATCATCTCGGCTCCGTCCACTTTTGAAGGGCTCCAACCGAGGAACTCTCCCCTGTACACATCTTAGTTTCCTATACATTGCAATCAGAGCCGGCATAGAGAGTTCCTCAAGTCTACCCAGGAGCTTCAAAGCCGCTGCCCTTTGAGAATGAGATGTAGGAGCCAAATGATTCAGACAATTTCCTCGGAAATTTCGTGGGTCATTTAGAAGTTGATAGAGCTTCTTAAAAGTAACATTATCCCATTGAGTGTTCTTTTCAATATGGCATACTTTACGGACAGTTTGCCTAACAAGTTTCTTCATCTTCCAGCGAGTTTTGTCAAACTCAACAGACCCCCTAGTAACAATCATAGCAAAATGATAAAGGCCCTTATTGGTCATATCATTTAGATGAGATAGAATTTCCTTTAGCAAATTAGGCATGTCAGATGATTTAACAATTTCTGCACCACCACTGCATCCTCGCTCCATATCATGCGATAAGATAGCTTCTTCAACATTCATCTTAGCAGTCTCATAGAATATCTGAAAATAAAGACAAGGTAATATTACAGTGAACAATAGTGCCAATGTAAAACTAGGCTGGAATTTGAAATTTCCTACTGCTAAGCAAATAAAGAGATGCGACTAACACAAACCAAGGAAGTGCCAAGCCAATTAAGAACCGATTGCAAGGGAAGAGACCTAAATAAGGAACTTGCACTTGTTTTTGAAAAATATACGAATCTCATGAGTACTTCTAAGAAACCAAATAGGTAATTATAAAACCACTGGAAGCCACGTGAAAACGCAGATCATTTCAAGCCAAAGACTGTTGAAGCTATGCTTTGAAGAAAAACAGAACAACAAGTAGTAGCAGTAGTAGTAAATAAGACAAAGGAAAATGTTCTTTTCCACCAGCAACTAAAGACGGTCGATAACAAATAGAAACCGTTAGGCACATCCACGAAACTTCCCTAGTTAAAACTTTTTCCACTTATAGTTTCTGGTGCACAGAAGATGCTTTAAATAAGCATCTCATACTCAACTTAGATTGATACAGCCCGAAATGCTAGAGAAAAAGAGGAAAATAAGACCAAATACAATATATCATAATGAATCCCGAAATGGCTTGATACTTGACACAAGAACTTACATCATCTTCCCTGAGCATCGATTCACGTAGGACCCTGAAAATGCACCGATAAATTCCTAATTTGAATTTCATGATTCTATATGTATATATGAACTCAAAGAAAAAAGGACCAGTTTATAATCTACGACAACACAAAAGCAGTGTAGAAGTAGCTTGCCCAAAAACAAAGAAACTTACTTTTTCTTTAAAAACTTCGGCCCTTCTAAATGCTTTAACTCTGACTTGGACAATGGTACCCCCATCAACCACCTACACGCAGTTTCAAAATAAAACTGTCGACTCACGATGAGAACATTGCATATCTAATTGGTTCTTCTGAGTCAATCGAACTGACCAGAAAACTCGAGAAGCATGTTGCTGTCCAATTCAACCCAAAAAAAGAAAAACATAAAATTCGCATGGTAAAAGAAACGGAGAAATAGTAGGAAGTACAAAGACTTCAAAAAGGAAGAGAGTTCGAGAGAGAGAAGGCTCCAATTCACTCCGCGACTTCGATCTTGTCCCATCAAATCCAACAAAAAAAAAACCAGCTGGAAAAAGAAGGAAAATCAAACAAAAAATCAACAAACCCTCATCTGATTAACAGAATTCTATCGACAAGCTAGCACCTTTCCCCATGCGTCAGAGCACTTCATCGAGAAGCTCCAGATTAAAACCACTTTAGCAGTCCTAATACCTTAGAACTCCAATGTCCTCGTCAATCAATCCTCTCCTTCCGAAAAAAAGAAAAGAAGATTGCATCGAAGCTAAAGATGCGCGGAATAGCGACACTCCATCAATACACGCGCATGCATCGTACAAACGAGAAATTCAAGACAATCCAAACGCGTAAAGGCAAAAGACCTTCTCTTTAGCGCCATCCGCTTCTCTTGATGCTTGATTTGCGACAGTACCGACTTGCAGTCCGTGTGGTACAGCCCCAAACCAGCCATGATCGATCGATCGAGATCGAGGTCGCGATCGAGAGAGATAGAGATTAGGGTTTCTGCGGGTGTTTGTAGTATGCGCGCCGGAGAGACGGAAGAGTTCGTTGAGCAACGGCTTTGGGGGAAAACAGGATGCAACCCGGGGAAAAAAAATAAAAATAAAAACGGGGCAAGAGATTCCGGTTCGGTTTGGGTCGGGTTAACCCGATGAAGTGGAGGAACTCTTCTTTCTTTCTTTTTCTTTTTCTTTTTTCTCTTTTTTTCTTTTTTTTTTCTCATTGTGGGTTAAATCATGATTGGGAATTTGGAATCATGGAGATCAATGATACTTATCACCCCGTTATAGCCTGGGTAATGAGGTTTTATTTCGTATAATTACGCTATTTGTGCAGTGTTTTATCTCCAAATTAAGCAAATCGAGTCACTTAATTGAATTATCAGATACAGCACAGCGTACGCGACATCCATTTGATTCTTTCAGTGAATAAGGTTGCGATAATAACATGGAAGTAGTGATTTCCAAATACCTCGATTCTTAAGAAGTTGAAAATAACCATTATTTTCATAATTATGGGGTCCAAAAAAGATATTATTGTCGAACTTTAGATAGCAACACACTTAGCTAGATATTAGTTTATGTTATCGGTTACCTATTTAAAAGTGGATAAAACAAAAGAAACCTCAATAGATTTGGATTTTTTTCCCCAAAATAGATTTGGACTCGCTAACTCAGATATGGATGCCATATGGGTAGATTCAAACGACATTTCCAATGCTACTACATCTCGGAAGCTGGATAGGTAGATGATAAATAATAAGAACTGATGGCACATAGAGCCTGCAAAGACAAAATATCAATGTTTGAGATTTAAACTCAAGAAGGAATATTTCTTTGTATAGGTCTTATATACATATTGTCTCCCTCCATCTAAGGCTAAAGCTTTTGGATTGAATTTTGTGACATGGTATCAGAGCCGGTTTCCACCTTAATTTTTTTCACGTGTGAGACCCCCCGTTCATCAATTCCAAGTGCTGTTCTCAGTCTGGTTTGCACTTGAAAGGGGTTGTGAATGTATCCCATGCCACTTGTGTATACCTTCATAAAGGTCTATATATATGTTGTCTACCTTCACCTATGGTTTAGGTTTTTTGGTTGGACCTCATAGTCGTATTTTTTAGTTGGTTGAGATTAATCAAATTCTTAAATGCATAAACATATGTAAGTCTGTTATGTGATTCATTTAGTTGGTCGATTAGCTTTGACACATTTCGGTTCCCGGTTAAATATCAAATATGATGTCTTGGGACCATTTTTGGTTCCAAGTTTTCCGCAGTTGCGTGTCGTTACCTTGTTATAAGGTGAAACATTTTTCTTCTCTTAGATTGTGTCCTCAGAACGTGTTGAAGTAATTGCCTCAATCTTGATTTTTAAGGCAATGGATGAAGACATAGTTCTCTAGACCTATATTTAGAACTATAATTTAATGCGATGTTGTACAAATTTATTTTATGGACAGCTCATTTTAGCTTTTCTCTAATGCCAGATGCAAGGAGTGGTAAACTTTTTTGGCCGCATTTCAATTCTTATTGACCAAAATACTCGAGCCTTCCACATGTTTATGACAGCGCTTCTTCAGGTAGTCTTTTATGTCCCGTGGCTTCTCTGTTAAATGTAATTGCATAGTGACGTAATTATTGGGTTTTTCAGTCTCTATCTATTAAGAGGGTGAAATTATGATATTATGATTCAGCTACATATACACTCTTTCACCTTAAACACCTGTTTCTCTCCCTGTCAAAGTTGACAATGCATAAAGTTTGTGTATCTCCCTGTGCGGAACTATGTACAAGCTCGTGCCCATTGCGACGGTATTGTCCTGTCCGTATCGAGTATTCTGGAGTAAATTTGAATTAGGAAACCGCATTGCTTAAACTCTGTCAGTTTGCTGTACAAGTTTCTTTAGTGGACTGCACTATGTAATTTAACTGAAGTGAAGGGGGCCGTAATGTTCATGGAGGGAAAGATAGATAGGTATTACTATACTGTTTGGTAAAAATTGGCTTGAAAGGAAAGTGCATTTGAAAAATAAATACATGATTAGGATCAAAGCTGAATCTGAGAGGGGAAAATTCTTTTTTTCCACTTCTTCACTTTTTAAAGATGATGGAAATTTGAGACATGATTGGTTTCACTAGATGTCATTATCTGTAAAAGACCTTTAGCATGGTAAGAGCGCTAATACATTATGGTTTGTAACTTGCTCACGTTGGAGATATCAGGGAACTAAGTATGTTCGACTGTGAAAGCTTTTGTTAGGATTTTGTCTTCTTGTGATATTGTATTAATACTAAGCTCTCAGCAATCTGGTGTGTTACTTCAGCTTTTCGATCGATCTGGAATGTTATATGGTGAGCTTGCTAGATTTGTGTTGAGCTTGCTGGGGATCAGGACAAAGCCCAGGAAAGTCCACCCACCAGGCCCTGACGGACTTCCACTTCCTGGACCGGGCAACCCTCATGCCGTTCGGGGCTACAGTGAGGAACCAAAGGCCGCTCCGACTGGTTCTTGGAACAATGTTTGGGAAAATGATGCCTCTAGATAATGTTGGATCAGCTACTTTGCCTGAGTGCACACAAATCGGTCAAGAACGCAATTCCTGTGCGTGAGTGCGTGCGTGTGTGGATTTCTCGAGCGGACTGGATCTCTGTTGTGCTTTAGTGTAATTTGTTATCGTGCAGAAAGCACATATGATAAATAATAAAAGTGCGATGGCTTGGTTGAGAAATCTTGATTATAGTCGCAATAGCTACTGGAATGTGTTGAGTGAGAACTCATTCCTGTTAATTATGTTGCACCAGTGAATGTGTTGGAAACAGCAAATTAAAGATTTGTTTTGGGAGGGTTGGACTGGCAAGAATATAGACCATTGGGAAATGATTTTCAATGGCGGTTGTTCGCGTACTTTTATTATCAAATGGTCTCTTACAACTTGGAATTGTGTGGGGAAGAAAGATCAATAACCTATTCAACCAGGTCTTTCCCTATGCACGCTGTTTTATTATCAAATGGTCACTTTTATTATATAGGATGCTGAGCGTTCTCGCCCTAGTGAATAATTCTGTACGTGCCACCGATAACAATGTTTTTCGCATTATGGACTGCCATGAACAAGTTAAGCTCGTCTCACACACACCTCAACCAGAAATAAATAAGACATCCGCGCTTGACCAAAGACTTGGGCGCAACATTTGATCGAACCTGGGAAGCCACGAGGAGAGTTTATGTTCCGTGCTGAGTAAACTCGGCAATTTCCGAGGCTTGTGCACATCAGATGCGAGTCAGAACAACAAGGGGACTCTCCTTGCCAAACTTAGAGATTGAACTCAGGGAATTGATCTATAGCTGGTGTTAGGAAGAACAACATTCCGGGATTGAATATTGAGAAGGAGATTGGGAGATTCAACAACAGCTAGACTTTAAATTGGAGTTGCCGCATGTCTATAAGGTTAGACATATGAATTCTCCTGGGAAAAATGCTATTTAGTTACTAGAGCCTAGTCAACCAAAACACAGATTGAGAAGTAATATGGGTAAAATTAATGGAGTGCTCTTGTTTTTGCAAACCTACATTCCGTCTCAGAACAAAGAACCATGTTCGCAGAGCTCCTTTTCTCTCTGCTCTTGGATAGGAGTAGATTACTTCCTTTCACCCACATCTCTCATTGGAGGGAGGGGACATCGTGCACAGCTCATGCCGAGGTCGGCTCAATATAGGTGAATATGTCCCATGCAGACAGGCTATGACTCTCACAATTCCTTTGCCCGTAAGAGTCATCATATTGCCAGCCAAATTGGTCATGTGAGTGCCGACAGAGTAGTTATGTCCACAACCAGGAGACCTATGCCTTCCAAGCCGAGCCAATATCCATCCGAATCATGGCATCAGGATGGCCAACTGCTTTGAGATTACCATAGCATCCATTTCATCCACGAGGCATTAGGCATGAGGCCGAGTTGGTCTTCTTTCCCTGGCCGAACAAGTCAGCTTTTTGCGAGTCTTCTTATCTTTCCCCAGATAATTCCCCACGGAGGAAAAGTCTTCGACTCCCGCCATATGCAGCAATTAACTATGAAGCTTAATTCAAGCAAGATTCCAGAGCTTACTCGAGGAACGAGGATATGATCCCCTTCCCATTGAGAGTTGACCTCTTAAGGAATGCTTGTGAACTCCTTCAATCTTTCCATCACACTGCACGAAAAAAAAGGAAGAGTTTCGAGATAAAAGTACCAATCGGAAACAATAAACCGGACCTCGCAAAAAGAATCGACATGGCTTTGTGTTTTTTAGCCTCGAGACATGATCCCTCGGAAGCTTGCTATTGACGACTAAGGTGGGCCTAATTCTATTTAATTGATTAGAACTAAGCCTAAGCTATTTATCTAAAAATGAGGCTAAGTCTAAATTGATTTTATTTCTTGAGAATCGAAATTTTATATTGAAACTAATCCTAATGATGATTAAACTAACTATTACAATAGTGAGACCGGATTTGACATTGGTCTTAAATTACTGTCTTTAAGAGCCTCGGCCCCCTCCTCCATGGACCGCTTCGAGTGGCCTCCGTTGATGGTGTCAATTTCCATTCATTTAACTTATTTGCATAACATGCACTCAATCATACAAAACAATCAACAATGTTCATCTAATCAAACATCGGAATAGCCTCGGGGTCGGCTTTTGACTTTCAGGCATTACGATTATCTCAATCTCCCATTGATTAAGACCGATTGATTAATGGTTAATGATAATCGGCCACCACTTGCTTTTACATGACGACGGTCGCATCAATTAACCCTTAATTTGGTTCTAATCGATTTCCAATAGGCCACCCATCGAGCATGCATCATACATAACATTCATCCAGCAAACACATGCATTTAATTAAACATGCATTTAGGTAATTTGACCTTGATTCTTAATCAATCATACAAGATGAAGCGAACCATCGAAGGGTCACTTATTCAGTTTAATACCAAATTTGGACTAATTATGCTCAAACTCAGTTAACCCATCAAACGAAATCCAATTGAAATGATTCAAGCATCAATAGAAAGCTTAGGACGTACAGTTCAAAGTTCACGAAAAACCACATGACCCAGTTCTAAACCGAAAAACCCGAAATTGAGCAAAAAATACCCGACAGTTTGGAATTGACCCGGTTTTGACCAGCGAGATTAAAAAAATATGGAAAAATAGTTTGAAAATTCAAAAGTCTGCCAAATTTAAAAGACATCTTTCTCATTCAGTTATTAACAACTTTCATGTTTTAAAATTTCACAAACAAGCCCTCGAACTGTAAGAAATTTGCATGTTTTCCCGGGGATGTCACTGAAAAACAGTTTTGTAGGCCAGGACCGACTTCTTCCCCCTAAAATTTTCTATTTGGTTCTCAAACTTTCCAAATCACTAATTAAGTCCCTAATGAACAACTTTTCAGTTTTGAGTGTTTGCAGAAAAGGACTCGAACTTCGTCGAATTTGCAAAACAAAGTCGATGAGTGTAGGAACCAGAAAAACAAATTAGATACAAAATCTAATCGTCTTTTTGGTTGATGCATAATGCCAATCCAATGATTTAAAATTTTTATTTTTTTAAAACTTGCAGTGTTGGCTACAATTTTTAGGAAGAACACTTTTCGAAATTTTGAACTCAAAAGATTAGAAAAATCTAAGAACCGAGAAAGGTCAGACAGACTCGAAATTCCTGTTTAATCTATTTGTGATCCTTAGGTCTATAACATGAATTAGCATGTTAATTTCGACCATAATTAATCAATTTCATTTGTTAAAGAACTCATTCAACATATTAAGTGTTCAACACCACAACAATCAATTTATAAGTTTGTATAGCCAGCTAAAAGTATTCAACGCTGTATTTTGAATATTTAGTGTTTCATTCTCTTGAGATTTCTAGTGTAGAGTTCTTGTTGTCTTGTACTCGTGAGAAGATTAAGTGTACAAGCTTCATTGCGGCATTTAGTCCTGATAGTGCGATCTATCATCTGATAGGATTAGTACTCGCAGGATGTAACTTATCTTGGTGATTACTAGTACAATCCAGCCCAAATTGTGGCTATTAGTTTGGAGAGTGGATGTACGCTTAGTAATAATGCCAAAGCACTATAAGTTGTTTTGTGCTCTCTTTACTTTTGCTGTTACATTATCTATTGGACATTCGTATCACCTGATATTTATCATATCAGCTTCTCCTAATTTCAAAGTATCGGTGCTGATTTCCACATAATTTTCAAAAGTTCATCAAAACAACCTATTCACCCCCGCTAGGTTTCTTAGTTAGTCTCAATAATTGGTATTAGAGCTCCGTTGCTTATTATTTGAAGTATATTACTTTTGAGCATAAAGATCTTTATCTATGGCTAACTTTGATGGTTTCTGTACAAGTGACTCTTGAGCACCTTGCAAGCCTCCATACTTTGATGGCAACAACTATCTCTGAAAGTAGAGAATGCAAGCTTACACTAAAGCAAGTGATTTCATCACGTGTGATGTGATCCAAAATGAATGGAAATAACAGTGCGAACTCCTGCTCAACAAGATGAAGAAAATAATCAAGCTACTGAAAGCCGCGAGCCTGCGGCTACTGCTACTCGTTTACGAGATGCTTAGAGAAGAGCTGCTCAAAATGCTAAAGTTAAACATCTTTTTTATTGTACCTTATCTCCATATGAAGTTAACAAAATTTGATCGTGTATGTTGACACCTAATTTTGTCGACTCGGTAAATTGGTGCTTTTAAAATGTAAATGGGCCAAATTAGTGCAAAAGAGAGATAATAAGAGAGAATTATTAGAAAATGGGCAAAATTAGTGCAAAATAGTTTCTTCGTAAAGTGGGAGCGGTTGGTTAAATTGGGTAGTAGTTGAATAAATTTTCCTTAAATACTTTTTTTATAAAGTGGCAGCAATTGGTAAAAATATTTGAATAAAATTTCGTAAAATAGTTTCTTTACGAAGAACGCACAATAATGAGAATATAATAGGTACAAAAGTAATCCTTATAAATGTTCATAATGGAGAGAGATTATTTATAATATGTATACTTAAAGGATTCTTCACCGAATTATTCGAATAAAATTCCATAAAATAGTTTCCTTATAAGGTGGAAGTGAGATTTGTTGCTAAATTGGGAAATATTTGAAAGTATTTTTTTTTAAGCGAGAGTTGTTGGTAAAATTGGGGAATATCCGAAAATTCCTTAAAATAGTTTCCTTATGAGGCGAGAATGCACGATAATGAGAATATAATAGGTACAAAAGTAATCCTTATAAATGTTCATAATGGAGAAAGAATATTTATAATATGTATACTGAAAGGATTCTTCACCATAGTTTCCTTATGAGGCGAGAATGCACGATAATGAGAATATAATAGGTACAAAAGTAATCCTTATAAATGTTCATAATGGAGAAAGAATATTTATAATATGTATACTGAAAGGATTCTTCACCATAGTTTCCTTATGAGGCGAGAATGCACGATAATGAGAATATAATAGGTACAAAAGTAATCCTTATAAATGTTCATAATGGAGAAAGAATATTTATAATATGTATACTGAAAGGATTCTTCACCATAGTTTCCTTATGAGGCGAGAACGCACAATAATGAGAATATAATAGGTACAAAAGTAATCCTTATAAATGTTCATAATGGAGAAAGAATATTTATAATATGTATACTTAAAGGATTCTTTACCAAATTATTTGAATAAAAATACATAAAATAGTTTCCTTATAAGGTGGAATTGAGATTTGTTGCTAAATTGGGAAATATTTGAAAGTATTTTTTTTAAGTGAGAGTTGTTGGTAAAATTGGGGAATATCCGAAAATTCCTTAAAATAGTTTCCTTATGAGGCGAGAATGCACGATAATGAGAATATAA